TAATTGAGAGGTTAGAGAAGAATAGGAGGATGAAAGATAACTATTCACTCAACAGATATAAAAAAGAAATGAAAAACATCAATGTCCTAACAATCATTAAATCATAATCAGTATGGGGTAGTGAAATGTGGAATAAAATGCTCACAAACACACACACACATATATATATATATAAGTATATATATTCATATACATACATGTTCAGAACTTTTTAATCGACGTTGTGCTAAAACATGACCAATCGGACGTTGTCCATCAACATCAGCACAATTAGCATCAGCGCCTAATTCAAATAGCAAAGATAAAACATTGACATTTGGAAAAGTACAAATTACAAAACGACCAACAGTTGAAGTTTCTGGTGAACAAGCTAAATGTATTAAACTTTGACCACGATGTACTCTGGGATCTAACTTGACTAATCTATAAACCTAGATAAAAAAAATAATAAAGAAAATGTTAGTCAATAAATTGTATGAATAATTCTTTATTTGGCGAACAAAATCGATTAACTGCACATACCTTACCTTGTTCAAGGTGAAATAATTATTTACTTAATAGTTGAGATCATGAGTCAATTGAAGATAGACCACCATGGAGAACCTGAAAGCACTGCACGGGCGTTTCGTCCTAGTATGGGGCTCCTCAGCAGTGCGCATCCACGCCCCCAACTCGCGAGATGGGAATCCAGGACTTATCAGTCTCGCACACGAGCGCTTAACCACTAGACCAGGTTTTCCATAGTGCTCTAGCTTCAATTAACTCATGAAAACAACCATTAAATTACTATAATATCCACACAAAATACCCTTCACTGGTTATAATTATTTATTTATTGTAATTATATACTGAACATTGAATCTATTCGAAATGAAACAATAAAAACCTATCGCTTACACATTATTTATAAAAACAATTAATTAGTGGATTAGATATTAAAGAATTCAGTCATCAATCGTTAAGTCCCAGGTTCGAGATCAGCTTCATCTTGGCATCTAATTAGTAATCAATAACTCCTTACAAATGAGTTACATTAAACTAATGAAAATTATTCAAAACGGTGATCTGTGATCGATTAATGAACAACAATAGACAGCCCCCAAATGCCCTGGTATGCCAAGAGTGGGGTGGGCCCGCCCTCCCTCTCGAAATGCTCTCACACGGACACGCGTATACAGCCTCTGCCAGGGAAGTCCTACTCACTGCCTTCTCGTGGCGGGAGTGTTGTTTACGAAAATGAGAGGACGAAAAGAATGTCCGGCACTTTAGCCGGATCCCAAACCAATGGTGCACATGGGCTCCAGTATCCTGAAGGAACAAATGGCGTATGAACCAATCGTCGTTCACCGGCTACCATGAGACCGCATCTCTTCACGATGCTCAACTGCCTTGTGGATCAGACCCTTAGGTCAAAGGCACGGGGAGTGGCCCCCTATGGAAACCACCTGCTTCGGTCTGGGCACCCGGGCAGTATAACAGCCCATATACAAATATGATGAGATTTCGATATTTATGGAAAACACTTTTCTTACTTCGATTAACAATCAAACGATTCACATTATTATTACTATTTCTATTATTGTTACTATTATTTTTTTACGTCATATATTCACTCTCTTTTATTCCCACTCTGTCTATCCTTACTTTTCGACTTATACAGCAGCTCGCCTACGGTGAAAACTCGGTTCTATCTAAACGTCCTCGAGTCACAGACTGGTTGAAAATTGTATGCTACCACCAAATACGAATACTGAAGCAGTTTTTCTGAAACCACGTGCACCATTCAAACTGGCTGACTTCAACGTTCGCACACTTATGCAGGTCGGACAACAGATAAGACTGGCTATGTCTTTGCAATGTCTATCCGAGACCCGTATTCAATACTCTGGTGAAGTACTACAAATTCGCTGTCCATGTGTCGCTTCAAAAAGCTTGTTTTACGTGCGTTTATCCGACGACCCTGTGGCATCTTCCGTCTCGTCTTGCTGGGGTAGCCCAATCACACCATTCCTCTTCAACTTTGCCATCGATGATGTTATGACTTTAAGTTGCGGTTGATTTCTACCCTGTGTTATCGATCGATTACAATGACACGTAAACACGTACGAACGACCTAGAGTCTCGATTGGTCTCGCTTCCCTGTCTAGCCCAGTCAGTTGAGTCCAGAACACAAGTCACAGCCTCGGAGATATGAATCATTATATTTCAAACATACTCTATTTATATACTAACCAAACATACCACATCGTACCATAAAAATAGAAAACAACATTTGTACAATATTTAACGGATGAAATAAATAATGGCCAATAGGAAATGTCCATTTAAAGTCCAAGGACACCATTGGACTTTACATGATAATTATTGGTCTATTCCTGCGCATCCACAACAGATAACATTCTGGAAACAGCTCTGATGGATGTAATTAATGGCAGTGTGGATCTGTTGTCTGGAGAAAGACTTCTCGACCTTGAGTATGCGGATGATATTTATTACTGTACGATAATGCCCAAGCCATGCAATCCGCACTTAATTAGTGTTCGGAAGTATGGTAAGTGTTTTGCACCTTCCAAGTGCAAAGTACTTCTACAAGACTGGCAGCATTCTAATCCTGTACTCACCCTCCATGGTGAGCATATAAAAGTAGTCGAGAAGTTCGTGTATCTGGGTAGCTGCATAAGTACTGGTGGGGGTGTGAGTGATGAGATCAATGCACGTATAGTGAAATCCAGAGCGGCTTATGCCAATCTGGGCCATCTTTGGAGCCTTCGTGATGTCAGTCTGGCTGTAAAAGGTCGGATCTACAACGCGTCGGTGAAAGCAGTTCTACTCTACGCTTGTGGAACCTGACCTCTCCGAGTTGAGGATGTTAGACGACTCTGTGTTCGATCATCGTTGTCTCCGAAGGACTGCTGACATGCAGTGGCAACACCATGTTAGTAATGCAGAGGTTCGGCATCGTGTGTTCGGGCACAGAGATGATAATTCAATTGGTGTTACCATCTTGAAACACCGACTTCGGTGGCTTGGACATGTTCTCCGAATGTCGTCCCAGAGAATTCCACGTCGTGCATTATTTGCCGACTCTGGGACTGGTTGGGAGAAGCGGAGAGGTGGTCAGTGTATGACATGGTGTCGTGGTATGAAAGGCTGCAAAGGGCTGGCTTGTGTTGGTCCTTCACGACTCCTTGGCTGGGGTCTGAGAGATAGTGCAACACAGTGGCTAGAGACATTATCAGATATGGCTCAGAATAGAAGCCAGTGGCTATCCTGTTGTAAACTTCATTTACTTTCTTCATATAAAATGGTTGTTTCTTTAACTGAAAGATTTCTTCTGGTTGTACCTTTCCGTCCCCCCCCCCCATTATTACTATTATTAATTATTACACTACCTTACACTAATCTGTTCGTTATTGTTTTTTTTTCTCTTTAAATTCTCATTGTTTTGTGTGGCGCATATATATTTGGTGCCCTCTTGTACCAATATTTATGTGTTCAAATAAATAAATTACATAGTATTGTAAATTCCTTTCAACTAGTGATTTCATTATACTATACTTTGCATTTACGCTCATAAACGTCAATGTCTATTCATATTATCTAGTTCTTAATAATTAGTCGAAATTTTGTCTGTCTATCAGGTGAACTAATATCTAGTGATTTAATTACCAAGAGGTATTACTTAATGTACCCAGTCGATTATTCATTGTAGTTTCGTATTATATATCGAGTGTCAACAAAACAATCAGAAAAATAAATTTTCTATAATATTGTCTGCACTTTACATCATCAGGTCTAATAGTCCGATACCTCATATTTAATATATTATGATTTGAATAACCTAGAGTTTAGAAGACCATACATATGTAACCGATTTTGAACTACGTCAGTTGAGGTCTTCTATCTATCGATAGATTGTGAAAACTTATATTCCACTATAATTAAAAGTTCGGTTGGCATTTGCCAACTCACATTACTTGTTGAGTAGGCAAGATACCTGTTTCCCAACCAAAAGACGAGTGTCCCGTACAGTAGTGAGCTCCATTCTATTCTATGGGTATGAGGATATTCGTAGGTTACTAGTATTCCATAATATCAATCTTTCAAGAAGTGCTAGTACATGTTAGTACCACTGAGTTAGAGAATCTGAGGTTAGACGTAGAGTACTAAGGGTGGCAAACCACATGACGAGGAGGCAGGTCTTTATTGACCGAGATAGTTGGGATAAATATGACGTATGCCCACTCACCATCTACCTACAAGCCTGATGATGACTGGTGTAAATGTAGGTTGGAAGAAAGCTATACGTGGACAAACAAAGACACGAAGACACTGAATGTTAAGTCATGTAAGTAAGTGAAGACTACCTGGTTACAGTCCACGTGATCATCGTAACCAATGGCCAAAGACTTGGAATGACGTGAATCAGAATCGTTTACAATGGCATAGGTTCTTTCACTTTTTGTCTTCCTTCAGATTCTTAGATTCTCAATTACCTACAAGTTTTTTTCGGTTCTATTTCTAATTTATATTTCCTTCTCCCACTTGTATCTCCGATGCACAATCGTTTCTGTTACCGCTAATCTTTTTACTACTTCTACTACTCAAGGATTTGCGCTGACAATTTGATCTCTCTTATGCTAATGAGTTATGGCATCTTGAGGCGATGTTAACATGTCCCAGGTTCTACGTAGCGTTTGCCTGATTGACCATAATCAGAAAAATTTCATTTCCTAATTACGGCTTAGTTCAGTAGTCAATGAAGTGATAAATTAATGACATCCTTTATGGTCCGTATATTTTTAATCCTAGAATACTATGTAGACAATGGGCATATTATGACTACCATTAGGTTCATTAACCGTGGAAATCATTAATCTAATCAACGGAAAAGATATTATAGACTGACGTGACAGACAAAAACATCATTTGAAAGTAGAAAGTCAGTCAATCGGTCAATATAAAACCTAGCGATAAACCCACAGTGAAACGATACATCAGCACAGAGATAAGACATTATCAAAATGAGTACCAACGTTGTAGAAGTAGAAATAAAAAAGGAGATGAATCGAGAAGGATGGATTCAAAATGTAAAATAACTTTGAAACTAAGAATGCACGAAGTGAAAGAAGAGCGATTGCATCTGTGTCATTGAGACTGATAATTAAATTAAGCATTAAGGATAAAAGATAGAAAAGAACAGACGAGATAAGGTGATAATAAATATCTCAAATGTAAGTTTACGAACCTCTCCGTTGTTTGTGTTAAGGACTATAATTGATCAGTCTCGATTTCGATATTAATCATAAGTGTTTGTAAGTAAATTTTATAGAGTGGTTAACAGTGGAATCTAAGAAGCGTGAGTTATTTTTCAGTTCGAGACTCGTCAGATGGATGTATTTACCACATCCCAGTATTGATGTTCACATCGATACTCGAACCCTGTTTCTTTCGCTCTAAACACTGAAACTGTTAACCACTACAATCCAACTGTGCTCAAAAAGGAAATAAGAAATATAAAATGATATCAGTATTCCGAATCTAATGAAAGATATATGCTGAATATATCTAGATCACAGTGACCAACTTCGAGCCATATCAATCAATCACTGATCATGATTATCACGGTAGAGTGCAAACAGATAATGTACAAATACCATCATGAATAAGACCAATAATTCAGTCAGTCAGTCAGTAACAACGTAGAACTTCGTACGTATGTACATTAGTTCGAGTTGCCACACCACATTAGCACAGAGATGCAGTTGTCGATTCAAATCCCGTAGTGGTAGAGGTAGCAAGAGTATAAGCAGTAATAGGGAAGATTAGGGTTTGGAGATGTTATTTAAAGAGTATAATCCAGTGAAGTAAATTTGGAAAGATGAAAAAAGGGACATGGAGAATTCAGAAGATTAGAATTTGGGAAAACACAAAGAGTGGATGCACTTGCGCCATTGCAAACGATTTTGAGCCATGCCATTCAGGGTCTCTAACAATCGGTTGCTATCATCTCGTGGTCCCCAACCAGATAGTCGACACCTACCAACATGACTCAGTCCACTTGTCAGTGACTTCATGGACTTGTGCCATGTTTTGGTTTGACCGCCTCTAGCTTTCTTCCAACCTACTCCTATACCACTGAACATAGCACGTCGAGGTAGTCGGTCGTTGGGCATACGTAACACGTGTCCCAGCCATCTCAACTGATGAAGTTTTAATACTTCATCAATTGATTTGCCATCCTTACCTAGCACCCGTTTCCAATAATTAATCAATTCATCGATTGATCAGTCAGTCAGTCAGCTACAACGTAGGACCAGGCACATATATGCATCGGTCCAAGTTGCCATACTGTGGTGTTTGAATGAACCAATGATACCTTTGTACTGGTTGAATGTTTGATTTCGAATTCTAAATAAAGTACATTCGTTGTGCCTGTGTCTTCTTAATTCAATTGCGTTAATCCTGGAATTCCTAATTCATACGACAATTAGAATACTATATTGGCGTCGTGATGCAACCTGCAATGGAAAATTTGGATATTCATTCAACTCCTGAAGCTATTGAGGATTATTTGGAAATGTTCGAAATTTGGAGCATGACCAAGAAAGATGTTAAAGGTGAGAAAATTGTGGCACATTTTCTGACATTCATTGGGAGAGAAGCGTACAGCTTATTAAAAACTTTGGCATATCCAGAAAAACCTATCTCACTCCCTTATGCAACTCTTAAAGAGCTATTGTTAAGTCATGTAAAATGCACCAGTTTTGAATGCCGTGAAAGGGCGAAGTTTCATAAGATGGTTCGTCAAAATGACCAAAAGGTTCGGGAATTCATCCTTGAATTACAGAAACAAGCTGCCAAGTGTAATTTCGGTGATCAACTTCATGTGCAACTGAGAGATCGATTAATTGCAGGAATCAACATACCGAGTTTGGAAAGAGAGCTGTTAAGAATGCCAAACTGTTCCTTTCAAGATGCTAGAACTGCATGTATTAACTACGAAGCAGTCAATGAACTTGATATCCAGTCGATGAAGATTTCTAATACTTTGCTTAGTCGTCTTGATGAACTACAATCTCAGGGTCAATCAAACTTGCGTTCATTTAACAGTGATTCCTATTCTCGTGTAAATATGAAAGGTGTTTCAACGAGGAATTACAAAGCAAATCACAAAGGTGAGATGAAGTTTGGTAAATGTTTATCATGTGGAAAGTTTCATGCTCGTAATTCATGTGTATTTCGTAATGCTAAATGTTTTAAATGTGGTAAGGTAGGACACATTCAGTCAGTATGCAAAGCTACTGTCCATTTTGCTTCGAGCTGTACTAAATCTTGTAATTTAAATTTCAATAATTCGGATGTTTCTAGTGATCATTTGTCTTTGTCCACTATTTCGAAAAGTAATGCTCATATTCACAAGCGACTATATACATCGCTGGGTTCATTTCATGACTTTATTCTGGACACAGGCAGTATAGAGTCCATTATTTCATTCAAGAACTTGAAAGTTTTAGATCCTAACGTTGTTGTACGACCCACTGAAGTATCAATACTGGGGATTACTGGACACAGACTGCCCATACGAGGATGTTGTGAATTACTAATCAGAGATGATAATTCTTCATACATACCTTGTGAATTTTTAGTTAGCGAAACAAGATTGTCAATATTGGGTTTAAAGAATTTGAAAAGGCTTAAGGTGGAGTTGTCCTTCTTAGGTTCTAAAGAAAATTCTGATACTTTACTTAAAGATTTGATAGCTATGTATGCTAAGTGCAGTGGAGGTATGAAAATTAAGCCTATAAAACTTCAAGTACAGGGTGATCCCGTCTTTCTTGAAAGACGAATAATTCCCTATGGTCTTCGAGAAGCAGTACATAAGACATTAAACGATTTGTGTGTGAGAGGCATAATTGAACCAATTCAGTCTTCAGCATGGGGTACTCCTATCGTTACGCCACTGAAGTCGGACGGCAAGACCCCTAGAATTTGCGGTGACTATAAATTAACTCTGAACTCCCGTTTGTTGAAGCAAACGTGCACGACGGTAGAAGCTGAAGATATTCTAAATCGACTTCATGGTTCTTAAGTGTTCTCGAAAGTTGACCTAAAAGATGCTTATCTTCAAATTCCTTTAGATGAATCTTCATCTATTTTGACGACAATTAACACTCCTTTTGGTCTGTTCAAATACAATTTCCTTCCATTTGGTCTAAGTTGTTCTCCAGCCATATTTCAGGAAGTTATGAATAAAGTAGTTAGTGATCTTGAAGGTGTTGAAGTTTATCAAGATGATCTCATTGTTCATGGCTCTAATAAGGTAGTTCATGACCAGAGACTTATTGCTTTATTGCGTCGTTTAATTAAGAATATAACAGTGAATCCAAATAAGTGTTCATTTTGTGTATCTAGTTTTGAATGTCTTGGATACCTAGTTGATGGTAATGGTTTTAGACCAGATATGAAACGACTAGCTCCACTGATTAATGCACCGTCTCCGAAAAATCTTACAGAATTACGTTCACTAGTGGGTGCTCTTCAATACTATTCCCGTTTTATTCCTAATTTTTCTTGTCGTGCGAATTGTTTATATAATATTTTAACATCCAATTCATTCAAATGGAGTGAGGAACAAGAGTCATGCTTACGAAGTCTACTGAAGTCTCTTCAAAGTGATGCTGTTCTTCGAACGTACTCCCCTAATGTACATTCTGTGCTTATTACTGATGCATCACCTGTGGGAATTGGTGCAGTTTTGGAACAGGAAGGTAGACCAGTTATTTGTGTTTCACGCAAACTTACTGTTACTGAACAAGGTTATTCACAGACTCAGCGAGAAGCATTGGCTGTGTTTTGGGCTGTTAAAAGACTTCATAAATATTTATTCGGAAAGAAATTCACTATTGTTACTGATCATGAAGCTTTAAAGTTTATTTATCATCCCGAAAAATCCTTAGCACGTTCCTCAGCAGCTATGGTTCAGCGATGGAGTATTGCTTTGGGTGCATATGACTATACGGTTCAGCACAGAAGTGCCAAACAGATTCAACATGTTGATTACATTTCTCGACAGTCATTACAAGATAAACCTATTAATACTTCGGATTGTTTGTTAGTGCAACCTTTACCAGTGAGACGTTCAGATCTCATTAGAAAAACTCGTAGATATTTTGGATGTATACTCAGTGCTATAAGGAAAGGTTGGAATGCTAATTTGAAACGGAGATTTCCTATCAATTTTTCAAAGCGGGATGAGTTATCTACTACTCCTGATGGTATTCTGTGTTTAAATGATCGTGTTGTCATTCCTCCTTCATTGCGTAAATCTGTTCTTGAAGATCTTCATAGTGGTCATAAAGGTGTTGAGAAAATGAAGTCCTTGGCAAGGCTCACATGCTGGTGGCCAGAGATAAATGCAGATATGTCGTACGGCAAACAATTGTGAGAAATGTCATCAGTTGAAAAATCATCCTTCGAAGTGGGTGCCATGGCCAGTATCGTCTGAGGCCTGGCAGAGGATTCATGCTGACTATTGTGGACCATTTCTTGGTAAATACTACGCACTAGTAGTCATTGATTCTTTTTCAAAGTGGCCTGAAGTTTTTTTCACAACTTCACCAAATTCTGATTTCACAATACAAGCATTAAGAAAGGTGTTTAGTCGAGAAGGTGTTCCCTTGGTGTTGGTGACTGATAATGGCTCACATTTTGCTGCAGATGCAGTCACTACCTGGTTGAACGGTATAGGGTGCAAACATCTATTTACTGCTCCCAGACATCCGTGTTCTAATGGTCAGACAGAGAATTTTGTTAGGACATTAAAGACTGCTATTGATTCTATAGCCCACTCAACATTTAATGAGCTGGAGAGGGGAGTAGATACCTTTCTATTGCAATATAGAAATGCCAAACATTCGGTGACGAAGGAGACTCCAGCGAAGCTATTGAAAGGAAGAATTCTTCGGTCGAATATGAGATGTCTGGAGTCTGCAGAAGTTACATACTATCGAGGAAATGATCTTCGACCATCTACGGGTATTGTTCTGAAGAATGTCGGAAAATCGATGGTGCGAATTCTAGACATCGATGACTTAAGTACACACAGTCGACATGTAGATCAAATACAATTTCAGGAACCAGGTGAGTCAGTTCCAATTTCGATTGTTAATTCTAATGCTAATGAGCATATTCTAGATAATACAGAATCCTTATCCAATACAATGTCAGACAGACTCAGGATGAATTTGAGAAGAAGACGTACGATTGATTACAAACACCTAGACTCCAATTTAAGCTGTGGCGGATGTGGTGTTTGAATGAACCAATGATACCTTTGTACTGGTTGAATGTTTGATTTCGAATTCTAAATACAGTACATTCGTTGTGCCTGTGTCTTCTTAATTCAATTGCGTTAATCCTGGAATTCCTAATTCATACGACAATTAGAATACTATACATACCTCATTAACACAACAAGATGAACACCGGATTCATAAAAGTAGTTAATTCGATGGTGGTAATATATTAAAGATTGCATATAAGGACATAGTACAGGAAGAAAGAATTCTTTCGTAGAAAGAAAGATATGAAGCGATTTTAATCTCTTAGTTTAATGGAAGACCGTTGTTGCTACCTTGATGTGGTGGTCCGGCTCGCCTATCTTCATGAAACAACCAAGCTATACTGGCTGGAACAACCGTTCCTCAAGGTCCTACCATGTCAGACATGTTGGTTGAAGAGCGGTAAGACTAAAAGCAACAAACCCAGGGTCCGAAGGCGAAGTCGTACTACTGACTGTACAGAGATGTGACAGCAGTAAGGTGTTTCCTTCAGACAACCAGCATGACAGCGATGCTGCCTTCCCACAAGGAGGGGTGGGGTTAGAAAAGGTCGACCCTAAAAATGCACACCTCGCCTTATTCCACAAATATCCGTCTCCGGTGGTAAGGTCTCAACAAGTACAGAGCTAACACAAAGATTACTCATAAAAAGGTTGTGTGTGACCGACCTCAAGCAGTTGTCCCTTGGGCACTGCGGTCACACTCTCAGGTCACTAAGACCACCTCTAATCCAATTTCCTTTTCAGGTACCTCCAGAACAACCCTTCCACGGTGTGGGAAACCGGGAAGTGATAACCGCCCTCATACCTCTAACTGCACTCAAGACCACTGTATTCATAAGCATCGATTGATGCTCCATCTTAGTTTGAACACCTTCCAAATTTCTTCACACTTGATTTCTACACCATCTAACGTTACATGACAAGTCCTATCACCACATTCATAGTACCATCAACTAATTCATCATCTTTTAAAGATAATGAAGTAATTTTCATCATATAGAGAAGTAATTCACTTACTTGACGGAAAAATCGTTGTTTCAATTCAATTGGCATACGTTTTTTCATATCATTAGATAAACTATCTATTTGTGATTCATTTTCAGTACTACTATTATTATTATTACTAATTAGCTCTTGTTGATTAAGCATAATATTTGATAAATTCAATGTAGAATTTTGTAATAATTCATTAAAATTTTCTTCAACTACTTGTTTTAAATTAGATAATTGACGTCGAATAGAACGTATGGTTGGTAAAGCTTTACAATTTGGCATATAATGAATAAGAATCATTGCTATAAAATGTAAACATAATGATACATGACGCATTAAATTAATCGCTTCTTTATCCGCTGCTGTATATGACCATGGATGTCGATGATGCCAATGATAAAATGAATAATCCATTCCACTATTGTTAATCATTAGGAAGAAAGAAAAAAGAAGAAAATGTATACCAGTACACATACTACTCTGTCCAATAAATATACAGATCAAGATTGTAAAAACTACAAAATTTTCAGAGTTATCAATATGTTATCTGTTGGGGATGTTAGATCCTCAGAGCTCACTTGACAAATACTTTATTTTTGTAATTCTATTTTAAAAATTTGAATTTCTTGTGTTCGCCCCAAAATCTTCCATTCTCACCTTTGTTTCGCATTTAGGAGGACCTTAAGTGTTATTCGTTCGTTGTCACTTTTGATATGCTATGACATTTTTATACTGTATATATAGGCTTGACTTGTGCTTTGTTGTTATTGCTCATGCTTCTGGCTGCTTGTGGAATATATTTCCCTCTTCTGAACTCGAACTTCTCTCTCTAGTTAGCAGGACTGGGACGCGTAGGAATAGCTAGCTTAGCTGTCATTGTGTCACAGAGTCTTCGATCTGTTCTCAGATTAGGTGAACCCGTAATCTCTTCAGCCATAGCATTATCTCCTATTTTGACTACGCCCCAAACTCCAGTTATGGTAATATGTATATATACACACATATTTGTTTCATTAGTTTTGATTGTTTAAAACATGCAGGAAATCAAGTTCTTCCAATCATCGCTGTTATTTATCGTTTTCGAACTGTGCTAGTGCCGCCGCTTTCCACCTATATAGTCTATCTATATTTAGAAGACAAAAATAAATCTCAAGAAGACAGGTTTGGTGATTAGGGAGACTGGTGCTCTTGATTGCTCATAAGATTGCTAGTAAGAGACTCGCAAACGAACCCTGTTGAGTAATCATAATTCATTAGTGGCCAGTGTCATTACATATGATTGTTGAAGTGCTTGAAAACCTTCTTATCTCTCACGATAAAAGGAAGAATTCACTGGTTATCTTTCAAGAAGAAATTTATGGCAAGCAATACCATGAATATAAGGGTTTTTATAAATGTCCCATTTACTTTTAACTAATCAATAATGTATAAGATTCGTATTATTTGCTGAATTTTTTTAAGAAAACACAACATACTGAATACTGTAAAATACAAACAGAAACTTATAGCTGATGATAAGTATGCTTTTTCCACTTTGTCTATCCCCCTCTGTGGTAACAAAGCGACACTAATTGAATCATTGTCGCTATGCTCGAACACACAATAGTGAACCAGCCTGCTCCAAGCGAGTCAATCTTTCTTGGATTTTGGACAAACTACGAAGCATGACGGAAGTCAATAGTTTAGACTCAATCGGAAGTAGACATATCTCCCGATAATTGTTACAGAAACGACGTGAACCCTTTTTATAGATAAGAACAGCCATAGAATCATTTCATGATGTTGGAACACTCTCCAATCGCCAATTCTTTGTAAACAACTCAGACAGTTTCTTAACCAGACAGTCATCACAATCATAAAAAAACGCCAGAGATAGACCATCTTAACAATTAACGTTAACATCTAAACTCTAAACTATGACTACTAGAATTACACTTTATAGCTACAGAAAATATTATCGAATCAGCTTTTATTATTTAACTCTTTCACTTAGGATTAAAATAAGATAGTTATATGTTAATGTTCACAAGAACATAAGTATTAATCTCTCCAGAAGAGAACACTATCGTTATATATTGCAAGTGCCTAAAAGTATTTTGCACTACAATCACAATATCACCCAATATATATCATAATTCAATTAGTAAGAGATTGGCAAAGCAAGGGCCGCATTCCTACAATTGAAGAACATATGGAACTCAAAACAACTTCCAACCAATATCAAAGTCACAATCTTAAATACGAATGTCAAGGCAGTTCTACTGTACGGAGCTGAAGCTAGAAGAACTACTACAACCATCATCAAACATGAACAAGTATTTATAAATAGTTGTCTACGCACGATACTCAACATCCATTGGCCGGATACCATCAGCAACAGCCTTCTCTGGGAGAGAACAAACCAGCTTACAGCTGAAGACAAAATTAGGAAAAGACGATGGAAATGGATAGGAGATACATTACGCAAATCGTCAAGCTGCATCACGAGACAAGCCCTAACTTGGAATCCTGAAGGGAAGCGGAAAAGAGGAAGGCCAAATAACACATTACGTCGGGAAATAGAAGCAGATATGAAAAGGATGAATAACAACTGGAATGAGCTAGGAAGGATTGCCCAGGACAGGGTTGGATGGAGAATGCTGGTGAGCGGCCTATGCTCCTCCACGAGGAGTAACAGGCGTAAGTAAGTAAAGAGATTATATAGAAAAATGGATAATAATCATTAAAAGTTACTTACCGTTCAATATTATCAACAGCTAATTCTAAACAATCTACAATTAATGTTGGATCTAAATCTTTTGCTGGTAAACCAATACAATTGTTTGTTAATACAAAATGAAATAATTCAGCAAAACTAACAAATGCAGCTTGTGATACATGACATAATGGTTCAACAAATGTACGTTGTAATTCTAATGCATAACGCCATAAACTTAAACATTGATGAAAATTATCTGCATCTGCATAAATTGCTCCACGATAACTACAAAAGAAAAATGGGAAAAATACAAAAGAATAATGGTTAAGAAAACCAACAGTATCACTATTTATTTATTTACATGCGTAAACATTGGTACAAGGAGGCACCAAATAGACATGTACCACATAAATCATTCGATTTGTGTGAGGGCTGGAATTCTGACCGGGTGCCCAAATCAAAGCAGGTGGTTTTCTTAGGGCGCCACATCCGGAGACGTTGACCTAAAGGTCTAATCCACAAGGCACTGGAGCAACATTTGAAGATCCAGTCCCATGGTAGCCGGTAACCAACGATTGGTTCATACGCCATTCGTTCTCTAAGGATTCTGGAGCCTATGTACACCAATGGTTTGGAATCAGGGTTTTCCAACTCACTTAGGTGGATCTTCTATATCCACCAAACCTGTTAAATCACCGGACATTCGTTTTTCGTCCTCTCAATTTCGTAAATAACACCCCTCGTGCTCCAGTATCTTGGTCATGTCAGATGAGTCGTGGTGCAAATTATTATTATGGTAGACATGTTTGTTTCTATTCAGTTGTAGGCGCGTGTAGAAATGTGAAATAATCTTTAAGAAAACTACTTATTGTTTTTAATGTCAAATCGACGACTTGATTTATTTTGACAACTATGGAATGCTAGAAAGTACTGGATAGATGTTTCGACTTATTATGAAACCCCACAACAATCCTCATCCACAATTCAGAACTTTCATGTCTCGTGACTTGATCAATAACGGCTGTTGATATGTGGTGAATATGTATTTGGTGCCCCATTGCACCAGTGTGTTCAAATAAATAAATAATGACAGTTGGTGATGTGAGACTTTATCTTCACAGTACCCTATAACTTATTATAATGTATTAAAATATAAATGAATCATGAAAAAAACACTGTTCCATTAAAAATAATAACACTTATTTATGCTTACTTTACAATGTAGTAATTAGATATGAGATTCAATGGCAAGGGATGGTAAAGGATTTGAAAGTTCAACCCATTGACATGGTTGATTAGTGGTTTAAAGTACTTGGTATTCAGCCAAAATATCAATCTTCTTGGTTCGATAATCACGAGGACCTTAGCCCAGTAGTCTGCACCTATTAACATGGCTCAGTTCAGTTGTCAATGACTTCGTGGACGGCTGCCATGTTTTGACTTGGCCGCCCCTAACCTTCTTCCAAAGTACTCTCATACCAGACAACACATAGAAGTGGGTGGTGGCGGAGTATACAGATCACATGTCCAAACCACTTCATTTAGTGAAGAATTACTATCTCATCAATCAACTTACCATCTCTACCTAGAGAGCCATTCCTAACCCAGGCATTCTTTACACTGCGGTCCCAAAGTTAACGAACAATGCTGCAAAGATGGTGGAATACTAGTGACTAACAAATATCCTCTACTTCCAAAGATCATGTTTCACACTTATCAATTAGAGAATCTCGAAAAAACTAAGACAAAACATCAGCCCCCTTGATTTTCACCAACCCTCCGGCACTAATGTATGCGGTAAAAACAACAAATCACCAAAGTACGCAGAGATCTTCTGAAAAAGAAGATGATCGATAACTCTACTTACAGTAATCTACGACCTCGTGGGTCTCGTTTGCCCCACATGTATGGATTACCGAAAATACATAAACAAGGTTATCCTCTTAGACCTATCTTGTCAATGACCAATTCACCATACCACAAAGTTGCACGATGGTTGGCAGATAAGTTAGAACCAGTGCGTCAACGACTAGCCACCTATACACTAAAGGATTCATTTGTATTTGCTGACAGCATGAATCACATAAATATTGCTGGTAAGTTTATGGTTTCTTTTGATGTAACATCTTTGTTTACAAAAATACCACTTCTTGAGACCATAGACATAATTTGTCAACATTCTGACATCCTACCTCTACCAGTACCAGAATTCAAACGACTATTACTCATTTGTACAAAAGATGTTCAGTTCCAGTTCAACGATATCATATACAAACAAACCGATGGTGTAGCGATGGGAAGTCCGTTAGGTCCTGTCCTAGCAGATATTTTCATGGCTAACCTCGAAAGAACCAAACTCAAACGAGCGATTAATGAAATGACGTATTATTCGAGGTATGTTGATGATACCTTCATCGTATGTAATAATAAACAACAAGCAATAAATCTGCTAGAGTTTTTCAACGAAGCACATCCGAATATCCATTTCACTATGGAACATGAAAAAGAAAACAAGTTCCATTTTCTCGATATTGCGATGAAAAGAAGAAAAGATGGTACAGTTCAACGTTCAGTTTATAAGAAAGACACATGGAATGGTAGTTATCTTAATTTCAATAGCTTTTGTCCAATCAGTTACAAAAAGGCACTGGTCAAAACACTGTTTTACAGAACAGAAAGAATATGTACTTCCGATACACTAGAAGAGGAAGTTGTGAATGTTAAAAAATGTTTAAAGAATAACGGATACCCACTGAAATTTATTGAGAAATACGGCAAATGTGAAGATAAAAAACCGAAAGAAATTACAGCAAATAAAAAGCCTATTTTTATTAAACTTCAATTCAAAGGTGACGATGTCACAGGATCAATCAATATGAGACTAAAAACTGCACTGACAAGAACCTATCCTGCAGCGAAATTGATTGTCCTGTCCAAAACAACATGTTCTTTGACACAATCAAAGGTTGACAGGTATCCCTTTCATGTTACCACCAACTGTGTATACAAATTTACATGTACCTGCCAAAGCAGTTACATTGGTAGAACAGAAAGGAGAGCCTACGTCCGATTCAAAGAACATATTCCTAAAAGTTTAAGATTAAATGGATTGAACTCATTCAACAGTGCTATCGCAAGACATCTCCTTGATACAGGACATAAAGCTGATATACTGAAGTCCTTCAAGGTGATTAACAAACAATCAAACTCGAACCTTTTGAAATTCGCTGAAGCGTTAGCAATCAAACGTTTAAAACCAGATCTATGTATACAAAAAGAGACAGTAATAAATCTTTCCTTACCCTGGTAACAATAACCCCCACTCTTTCTATTAATTTGCTCCTATTTATTTATTTATTACGTCATTATTGCAACTCTTTCTGAAATATAAATTACATCATATATAACTGATTGATTTCAATTCATATTTTCTTTATTACCATTAATCTATTTTCATGAGTTCTAATCATTCGCTGAGATTTTACAAATATATTCTTCTTTTTAATGTCTCAAATTAACTCGGCGCCCAAATATTGTGAAACTATTCGTTCAAATTTAGACGAAAGTTCTTATTTATTGTTCTAATCACTATTTCAATGTTCCAGAACTTTCCCTCTCTAACTTTATTTATTTATTCGAATCAAACATTTTATGAGCTCATTAACTCTATCTGAATCTTTGCTTGTTACATCATCATACACATGTATTGATCCTTAATCACACTCTTATATATAAATATGTCAATATCTGTAATAATGTTGAATTTCAAATAATTTAGGTTGTAAGCAGCTGATGAGAACCTAACGAAATAAAATGAATTCATATTATTCTGCACCAATCTTTGTTCTTGCTCTATTTAAGATAATAAAGGGAACTATGTGTATAAAATAAAACACTTTAATTACCGGATAAAATAAATGGTATCTGGATGATCTGGACCTAATATACGTAAGCGTATAAGCAATGATTGTAAGCGTAGAACATGTGTATTTGACATTAAACTGGCTAGATCTTCACGTGTTTGAAATTCACAAACATGTCCAAAAGCTTCTTCACCACATTGTTTTAATCGACGAATTAACGGATGATTTTCAGTGGCAAAATGACATACTGGACAAACATATTTAAGATTGTTTTCATTCTGTTAAAAGATAATCGAATAAAAACACGGTGAATAAGTTAAAAAAAAGGCGGTTGTCACTTTCCAGTTAGTTAATAGCCGATACAGAAATATAATCTTCCTTTTTGCCCTGATAATCCGTTAGGTTTAATGAAATACGTTTGAGTCTAAGTTCAACAGTCAAACCTAAAGGATAGAGACGGTTGCTGACTGACCGTCAGTAGTATATTCTACCCGTTTACAGTATTTCAATAGCTTAGATAATAGTAACCAACTAGGTTATCTGGATTATCTTCAATAAAAATGTTCATTTTTAGGTTCAACAGTTTGAGGTGTAAAATAAAAAATGCTACCCTAACCCACCTATTCTACATTTCACAACCCTATTCCAAATGAACTAATGATCTATCAACATTTAACTAGTCTAAATAGCAGCAAATAGTATCCAATATGGAACTCACTTAGATAGGGTGTGCAAAAAAGTTGGTAGCCATTCAATGCACAAAAGTTAAGTGACTGTATAATTCAGCAACAAAGTACAAACTTATAAGTACTATATTTTTATACTTTCAAGTTATGATCGATGACTATCAACCCATTATGATATACCGGTTGGAATCATGATTGAATTGTATCTCCTCCGCCGATTATACACTAATCTCATTTATTTATTATTTTATTGTACTTCCTTCTTGTTGTTTAATTTCTTATCATCATGTTGCTTTTGTTTTTATGTCAGATACTCTTTTGATATCTAACAGTAACAGAATATATGTATGTATCAAACAGGTATGCTGTTGTTATCGAACTGTTCAATATTGAAGTAATTAGAGTGGGACTCGAACTTGTAACCTGAATAAATATCAGTCAATTATTATTTAAATCACTAAACCACCGTTTAACTGATATTATTATTGAATATATTTATTGAACACAACTAACAACACTTACATTATTATAATAATTATGATTATTATCATCATTATTATTTGATTCGTAAGGATAAGATACTTTAGAATACTGATTTGTTGAATGGACTGTTTGATTTTCATTTGAAGAATTCACTAAAATATAAAAACAAGAGAAGCAAAACAATGACTATGATATCAAGAATGATGAAATAGCATATGTACGTACGTGTATACGTAAGTACGTATGTATGTATGTATGTATGTGGGTAGGTAGGTAGGTAGGTAGGTAAGTAGTTAGGAAGGTAAATTTGGCAACTAAATTTTATGAAATATGAAAAAATATTATTTGATTAAATTATTATGTAATTCATGTGATGCAATTTGTTTATCATATATGTTGGTTTTCATGTATTATTCATAGTTTTATGAGATATAAACTTATGTTGTATAAGACAACAATTACTGCCATGAAAAGGTAATGAGTAGAACTTCTCTAACAGTAGGCTATATACACTTAATCATATGAGAGTATTTTAAAAAGGAGAGATTGAACTCTCTTCACTTTCGGCGATATCCGGGGTATATTGGGGATCAAGGAAACCAGAAACTTTACTACTTACAAGAATAGCTAAACTAAACACTCATGTTATACTAATATAATACAAGATAAATGCTACGAATATCATAGTCAGTCAGCCAGGTACAACGTAGGACCAGGCATATATATGCATCGGTCCAAGTTGCCATACCTCATTAACACAACAAGGTGGACACCGGATTCATAAAAGTAGTTAATTCAGAGGTGGTAATATATAAAAGGAAGATTGCATATAAGGATATAGTACAGAAAGAAAGAATTAGTTCGTAGAAAGAAAGATATGAAGTTAATGTTAATCGTAATAACAATAATAATAATGTTGCATAATACAAAAATAAACAACACATCCAGTAATGTCCATTAAACATGGACTAGATAATGATGATACTATTTACCCAATGAATAATAATGAGGTTAGGTAGAAAGTATGAAATCAAAATGATAAATTGATTGATGGTGCTATGAATTTTTATCGATTAAAAAAGTCATGACAATTCTTACACCATACTTTGTCAATTTTAACCCTGGATTCCTATGTTATCCCTAATATTGAAACTAAGAGGAGAAGAAATAGTAGAAAGTTAGACATAAATGACAAATTAGTTTATTGTTAAACAGGATATGTGTTTAAATATGGAAGCTTTCAGGTTGGAGATTTGAAATAAGTGTGTAATCCATGGATGAAAACGTTAGGTGATAAGATCCAAGTCTACAACATGATGATGGTGGTGGTTAATAACATCAGACAATAATGATTCAAAATCGATCACATTAGTGTTGAGGTATTCAACCTCTCTCCAACGTCAAAATACAACGTTTACAGTAATCTGCACTCCGTATAAATTACTAATAATTACAGACTCATAAGAAGAATTTCAGATTAATTTAATAATGCAGTTTATTACCAGATATGTATGACTTTCTACCATGTCATAAACGTGTGACTTATTATTATTATTATTAATACCACACTGTTTAGTTGTTTTCATGTTTAAAAAACCAGTTTAATCTTTGCTATAAAAAAATAGATCGATATATAAAATGAACTGGACTAACACAATGGATAAGACCACATAGTTCAGTGAATACGAGAGTGACCAACCAAAACAGATATTTATAAGAGAATCGATCAAACAGCATGATTTTGAGACAGAGACCAAGAACAACCATTGAGAAAATATTCTACACTGCAAAACTGATTGTAATCGAAAAAAAAAAAAAACAAATTTATTATCCTCTATAGACCTAGATATTCATCAAACGTTTTCATCACATTCCACAGGTTCGGGTGGACATATATACATAGGAAGGAATGATCGAACAATTCAATCAAGGGTTATAGGAACACGTGCTTACATCGATAAACGTAGAAAGTAGAAAGCATCATTCATCGATATAAAACGGGGTATAGAATTGACATCAATAGTTTTTTTTTAAAAAAAAAAACGTTGTATACTAATTTTCAAGGACGAATTTTCAAGTTTATAGAAGCCTTGGTTATTAGAAAATCCAAACCCCCCTTTATACACACAGAAACAACATATTGTAACCTTGAATGTGCCCTGACAATCTTTAAACCAGTTTATAGAATAAGGTAATGTGACAATTTTCCATTCTTCACATATTATATTAGCTTTCTTCACGTCTTTGTTTATGATTATCACTTTAGGTTTACTCGATCTTTTATTGAATTGATCATCATTTTCTTAGACATAAACAGATTGACAAGTGTCACCAGATTGTTCGGAACGTATAACGCAAACACACCATACTTTTTCAACTCGACTCCGTCTTCCCACTGTTCTATCATAACGGATATTGTACACTCATCTGTAACATCTAATTACGTTTATATTTTTCAATTAATATTTTATGCATAAGCGTGTTTTTATTACAGTGAAAAGTCTACTCCATTGAGCAGATGCTATCTTGTATTCAGATGTTCAGTTCAATTTGGGAGCGTACGTTGATAAGCTAGCCTCGTGAGTAGTTTATACTCTATCATATTGTATCATTCCACAATATCATTAACCGATTAGTGTATTGTGTCGAAAAATAACCAAGTCTTAATTTAGCACATATATATATATATATACATCTATAATTTAATATGCTTTTCTAGGCAAAAGATAACACATTAGACGGCAAATGTACGAAGTGGTGGTTCAGTGATTCAGATTACTCACCACTTCATTTTGAGAAACCTCGCAGAATCACTAAACTTGAGTTTAAAACCAAGCACAGTCCTCTGTACATTGGTGGAACAGGATTACAAATTAAATGAGAAAAAAAAAACATAGTAAAAGGAAGCAAATGATATGTAACTTACAAGAATGATTTACTACTAGTGATGTCTTACAAATGGGACAGGTGGATTGATTTGAAAGTAGACTTTCTTCACTTAAATTATTCATTGAAACAAGTATTTGTTTACAATGAGGACATTGATTTATGATTTTGGATGGAGTGAAATCCTCTGTATTATTATGCAATATGTTACTAGTGTTATTATGATCAGGTGTTGTCGAAGATCTGACTTGGTAATTTTGATGAATAGGCTCCAGAAGCCATCGACGATATCGTGCAATTTGACAACATTTCGGTTCAAAGCCTAGAATAGGATCGACGGGTATAACAGATTGGACGAAAACACCACCAGCACAACTGCCACTGTGATGTCCTGTTGTTGATAAAGGTGGTAGAGAGGAGGATGAAGATGTTCCAAAATTCAAAGAATTCGTTGGTGATGGTGATGATCTACAAACACCTTGTGATAATATTGAATTGGTAGGAGAAGACTGATCAAAATACTCACTAGAACCATTACGACGTAAACCTAAACGTGAATTATGCGAACCTTGAAGAAACACTGAACAAAACGGTGGTGATTGTACATCAACAGTATAATCTTTTAATGAATTCGAACGATACAATGAATGACCTAAATGTTCAAATTTACATTGATAAGCATTTTGTAAATCAGTTTGTAATTTTTTATATTTTCTTTGAAATAATTCATGTAAATCTTGTGAATATTTCGTTGTAGACTTTTGTCGTATAGTCGATTGATGAATTGAATTATGATAATGGAATTTTGTGGAATTATAACTTTTAAATAAAATGTCATGAATTCTTGTAGATCTTTTATGACGTTGCCAATTAGATGTTAACGAATAATGTTGTTCATCAAATCGACTAGTTTCAGCCATTCCAATTGCTTCACGTGCAGCTAATGAAATCAATGACCAACAATTATTCGATGAATTAGTAGTTGAAGTAGTAGTTGTTGTTGTAGTGGTGGTGGTAGTGGTTGTCATTGTTGGTTGCCCTTCAACACATGACATTAATTCATTCATACAAGAGCATTGTGGTACTGGATGTGGGATAAATTTATTATTACCACTATTAATATTACTACTATTATTATTATAAGTAGACAACTCTTGGCGTAAATTTATCGCATGATACCAAGCAGCTATAGCGTCTTGAATTAAAGAATGTCGATCGAATAGACTAGCACCAAGTAGATCATATGCAGCAGCTTTTTCACTAACACTTATTGTTTGTGTTGAATCAGGAATTTCAACAGTAGCCAAATAATCTACAATCTATAAGAGTTTATATTTTATTGTATATTTTAACATTGTTTACAGATTAAATGAAACCGAAAATTCAACAACAACAACAACAAAAAGAAAGAAAATATACTTAATGAGTATCATTATGATTTGTTAATTAGCTATATAAGTTACAAATTATGTCATCATATATTTATCAAACATAGGTTGATAATCATTATTAGCATTTACATAGAATAGATGAATTAGTACAGTCGAAAGTGGGGAGAGTTACCTCTCCCTGTCGAAATGCTCTCACATGGTTACGCGTATACAAACACTGCCAAGCAAGTCCTAATCACTGCCTTTTCGCTGCATTACTGTTGTTAACCAAATTAAAAGGACGAAAAGCGAATATCCGGCGCTTTAACCGGGTTGGTGGATGTGGAGGATCCACCTAGGAGAGTTGGAAAATCCTGATTACCAACCAATGGTGCATATGGGCCCCAATATCCTACGGGAACAAATGGAGTATGAACCAATCGTTGGTCACCGGCTACCGTGCGACTGCATCTCCTCACGATGCTCCACTGCTTTGTGGATTAGACCTCTAAGTCAAAGGCTCCGGGTGTAGCCCTTTAAGAAAACCATCTGTTTCGGTCTGGGCACCAGGGAAGTATCCCATCCCACACAAATCAAGTGACTTGTGTGGTGCTCATATGTATTCTGTACCCCTTTGTACCAATATTTATATGTCCAAGTAAATAAATAAGATGAATTGGTGGTTAGTAATGGAATTTAGGATGTAAGCATATTTAACTCTATTTACAACTTATCCTTAACTGGATATGTATCTATCACATCCCAGTGATGTTAATCACTTTAGGATTTCAATTTAATACGTTTCTCTTTAAATATCAACGTGTTATTCACTTAACTGATAAACTCAGCTAATTACTCTTATTTGTACAACGAGTATGAACTTGAATTTGATTTGTAATCTTTTTAATTATCCTTTATAATCATACACAAACATATACACTTCACAGCATTATGTAAGAACTGATAATATTGAAGGAAAGATTTGAACTTATAAACCAGTGAATGAAAATCTGATCAATCTATATAAACAATAAACCATAATTCCAAATATATAATATAATGAAACAATTTTAAAGAAAAATCAGTATAAAAAATTATGTCCGATGTACAGATATATAACAGTGCATTGAATAACACGAAAGTTAACAACAAAATATGTAAATCTGTCGCTCAGTAATCCTCGATTCTACGGCAGACCCAAAATACACAAACCAAACATCCCACTACGTCCAATTGTAGCACTCCCCGGAACACCAACGTACAATTTGTCAAAAGAAATTTCAAGAATACTGAGACGTTTAGTAGATTCAGCCAAACACTCCATCAAATCCCCTACACAATTCCTGGACCAAATTAAGGACATCCAAATCAACAACGACGAACTGATGATAACCTTCGACCTAACATCACTATTCACCTTAATTGAACCAAAATTAGCAAAAGAAACTATATCCCTGCTACTCAACAACGACACAAACCTCACTAAATACACGAAGCTTCAAATTCAAAGTCTACTGGAACTCATCGATTTATGCCTGAAAACATATTTTCAATTCAACAACAAAATCTACGAACAAACGAAAGGGACACCAATGGGATCACCAATATCAGGATTGATCACAGAGGCAGTGATGCAAAGACTAGAAGCCGCTATATTACCAGTGATCAAACCAAAAATTTGGATTCGCTATGTAGACGACACCTTCGTCATCGTCAAAAAGAATGAACTAGAAAACACTTACAACCTGATCAACAACGTCTTCGATGACATCAAGTTCACCATGGAACAGGAGTCAAACAACAAACTACCATTCTTGGATATATTGATCACTAGAACCGACACAGGAAAACTGGAAACTCAAGTATATAGGAAACCGACCCATACGGATCAAATTCTCAACTACAATAGCAACAACCCCAGAGCTCACAAAATCAACTGCGTACACAATTTGTTCAAGAGGGCGAGGACACACTGCAGCACACTAGCAGCACGAAAAAATGAAGAGAAATACCTGAAGAACGTATTTCAAAAGAACGGCTACCCCATCAACTTCATCAAAAAATACCAACCGCACACAGCATTAGAACTCAAGTCAAGCACAAAAATCAACAAAAGGATCACCCTACCATATATACAAGGAATATCAGAAACCGCGACGAGACTGCTGAAAACCTTCGGAATAGGTGTGGCACACAAACCGACAAAATCACTACAATCAATCTTATGCAAACCAAAAGATGAAATAACAAAGGAAAACAAATCAAACATCATCTACAAAATAAATTGTGCCAACTGCGAAAAACACTACATCGGACAAACCGGACGCCCCCTCCACCTTCGCCTACATGAACATCAATTAGCAGTCAAACGGCATGATATCTCTTCACTTATATCAATACACGTGGACAACTGCGGACACTCATTCGATTGGAAAAATGTGGAAATCTTAGACAGAGGAAACTCCAAAAACACCAGAGAATTTTTAGAAGCCTGGCACTCAGGTCAATCAGAAATCAACAAGCATATTGAAATCAATCCAATTTACCAACCAATCAGGAAAATCATGCACAAATATAGGAACAAAAATCAAACCAATGGGAGACACAACCAAAACAAAGAAGTAAACAATGATAAATTTAAGGTCAATAAGAACCAATCAACGTCGAGGTGCACAGAACAAACTTTGAGACACATATGGATAAATTCAAACACTTCACTTCTATCTGAAGTTTGTGCTGATGATGTCGTTCAGAAGAACGATGAAAGCTCCACGACCAAACCATCCAGCTCAGAGAACAAAACTCCACCAAAGTAATCTATGTATATTACTCAACTTAGTTAAAAGGGTCAGCTCACCCTAGTGGCTTACTTTAAGATGTTCCTAAAGTTCAATTATGAAGTCTTAACTGATAGAGTTTAAAAATATCGAGAGTGAAATAGTTTTATCAGTATGGGGATTTGTAGAGATTGTAGTAAATTTAACAGTGGAATTCATGAGTCGATCTAAGCTATACCATCATTGAAAACCTGGAAGCACTGAACAGCCACTTCGTCCTGTTATTGAACTCCTCAGCAGAACGCATCCACGACCCCCCACATGGAACTCGGACCCCGAAACCTTCGTTCTCGCGCACGAATGCTTAATCTCTAGACCGATGAGCCGGCATCTAACGGTGTTAATGCCTAGCTTCAATCGATCCATGACTTTGCACAACCCTTCATCCATTGTCTGACGAGACCGAAGGTTCAGGGTTCGAGCATGTGAGGGATCATGGATGCCAGCTGCTGAGGAGTCCCATTCTGGGACAAAATGGCCATCCAGTGCTTCCGGATTTCGAATGGTGGTCTAGCTTAGATCAACTCATGAATTCGACTGTTTAAATAGTTTTCATCAGTGGTATTAAATGATTATTGCGCCATATCGGAAATTGACTGAAGATGAAGTTGTACCATTGAACGCTGACCAAGTGGTTTTAATGGTCAAACGTTGGTCGCAAGACCTTAAGGTTACAGGTTTGATACCTGGCGGGGTTGTGTCCAATATTAATGAGTCCAATACTATAACGAAACAATTTTCGAGTTCTCCTAAGTTTCCAATGGTATCTTAATAGAAACTAATCTGTGAAAAACGAAGCCTGCAAATCGCAAATGAAGTTTTCAAATGACCGGAGAGACTTCGCCCCTGATATGTTCCGCATAATGTGTGTACTTAACACGATTATCAAACAGTATTACCATATATACAACTCTATCCAATAGATACACGAAATGAAGTTGTAAAAATTTAATTCTACAGAACCTAAGGACTATTAATCTCATTATCTCATTCGAAATAATCCCTCTATTTATGGCTACACATTATTTTGTCTAAACTATCTCAGAAGTTATGTTCTTCGAATGGATTGATTTACCATCTCTATATCGTCCCAATAAAATTAGTAGCATAACTGTAATTTTGTGTTTGCCGATAGTATATTTCAAATTAATAAAATAGAAGTGCTATTGGTGCTATAGTCGATTGAATTAGGGTTCTGGGGGGGGGGGGTACATAAACTTGGAGATTGTCAATAAAGTTTAGTAATTCATCAGTAAGATGAATGATAGTGAAAGAGCCAGTACTTCTTTTCCTATCTGTTAAAAACCCCTTCAAAATATTTCATATTCTAGATGTACTCATTCGAAATCGCTGCTTACAGATCATAAAACCAACTATCCTTAACTCAAAGACAGATGTAGACAACCTTAAAAAGTAACCTACTAAAAACGAATAAAGCGCATTACCTCTGACATCTTTGCATAACGAACTATACAAACTGGAAATTCGACAACGTACTAAGAATCATTACGGTATTCATATTAAAAAAAATACTTGAAGGCCACTAGCAATCACAAAAACTTAACAAACAAACAACAAAATATATCCAATATAAATTGACAACATCACTTTTGGTTATGGTCTTTGACCCCCCCAAATGCCCTGGTATGGCCGAGAGTGGGGTGGGCCCGCCCTCCTCGAAATGCTCTCACATGGCCACGCGTATATAGCCTCTGCCAGGGAAGTCCTACTCACTGCCTTCTCGCACCACGGGTGTTGTTTACGAAATTGAGAGGACGAAAAGCGAATGTCCGGCGCTTTAACCGGATTCCAAACCAATGGTGTACATGGGCTCCAGTATCCTACGGGAACAAATGGCGTATGAACCAATCGCTGGTCACCGGCTATCATGGGACTGCATCTCCTCACGATGCTCCACTGCCTTGTGGGTCAGACCTTAAGGTCAAAGGCTCGGGGTGCGGTCCCCTAAGAAAACCACCTGCTTCGGTCTGGGCATCCGGGCAGTATCACAGCCCTCACACAAATCGAATGATTTATGTGGCGCATATCTATTTGGTGCCTCCTTGTACCAATGTTTATGTGTTAAAATAAATAAATAAATTTCAAAAGTGATATATTATTTCACTTTATCTTGGTCAAATATGATCTAATGTAACATTCATATTTCATTGAAAATCTTTTCTTAACCAGTAACAAACTAACTTTTTTGTAAGCTGCATTTGCACCAGACATAATTGGTAATTGACCATATTCATCTTTACGCATAATAGCTCGATGATTTAACAATAATTGTAAACATTTTAAATTGCCACTTTCTGTACAATCATGTAATGCAGTGTTACCTTTAAACAAAAAAAGAAACGTAATAAAAATTGAAAATACAAAAAGTGAATTGAATTGAAGTATTTTATCGATAATCTCTTACCTCTATGAGGTGAATCGCGGTTAAGGAGTAGTAAGCCTAATAGTTAAGATGTTCGACATAATCTGCAAACTCGAACCCACTCCATCTACACTATGACTAGGATAACCGCGTAATAGTATATCATTAGTTCTTATGATTAAAGTATAGCTTGAAGCCAAATACACGATTCTGTACATGGTAAATGAATTAATAATGATAATCTCTCCTACCTATTACACATCAATTTCCTTTCTAGAGTAATTTAGTAAATGTGAACCATTGGTTGCAAAAATAATAGTTTGCAGCTCCTATTCAATTAATTTCTATGACAGAATGAAATCTATCTACAATCAGTAAGATGATTAAGACATTCTGTGAACAGAGCATATTTCGAAAGTTCATTGTTTGCATCAAGTAGTATTGTCCAATATTCTCCTCAAAATTAGTGTGTATATTCATGATCAAAATATTGATCAATCCAAATGGACACTTCTAATGTTTATACTACTGAATAATAACCATTATTATCGATTCACAAAATAATTTCACCTTATATCCAATTGTTTTATCCTCTCAACTATTAATATAAAAGTAACTGGCTTATTAACGGACTACTTTGTACAATATTGTATCTATAAAACAAAAATGTGATCTTTTCTATACATTAACATCAAATCTCTTTGATTCTCTTGTCTTATCTTGTTTTAGACAAAAAGAGATTCCATCATTGAAGAATTTATACCGGATATTATAGTGAGCGCGAACACAAATGGGGACAATCAAATGTATCTGAAAACAAAATTACAGAACATCTTAGTAAAATCTGACAACTAAACAGTAATTACTTCATTTACAAAATGTTAATCAATCGTCTCAGATTTCATTGATACTTCATTTCAACACAAATCATTCCCTGTTTTCGTTCTCTTTCCTTCGATCATCTTAATCTTCTACCGCCAGGCAATTCACTTTCAACTTATGGTATATAAAACTTATATCTTTCGACAACAGTAGCACACACCACAATACTATTTATGAATTTCCGATTTCCTTCCTGTCGCACACTGCACTCTTAATATATTGATAATAATATCCACTTTACATTTCTCAATGAAGCTTGAAACAATGATTTGAAGTTCTTACTTAGTAGTTAGGGCACTCAAATCTTTCAACATTAACGTTTCAAGTTCAAATCCTACCTAATACACCTCAATTTGATCAACTGGATGGTAGTAATAGTTTATAATTTTCTTCAGGAACCGATATTAGTGAGATAATTACAGGAAACTAAATAGCTGATTCGTTCAAGTATAGAACTCCTCAATAGTGTGCACTCACAATATCACATGAACCTTCATGTGATTTGGTATTTAAGACTTAAACGCTCTCTGAGAGACCTGAATGCCTTGTGTTAAACTGCCGACTGGATAAACGATGCCTATGGTTGAGGAGTTGTATACTAAGACGAAACAACTGTCCAGTTCCTCCTGGTTTTCAATGGTTACCTGACAAATGCCAGTTTGTTATGTAAAGCACATAATTCAGCAATGTCTATAAATCCCTTATATTGAGGATAGTAGCAACGTTGAGATCTAAACAGAAACATATCTAGAATTCAATTATTAAAACTCGGTACTTGTGTACTGTGATGAACGAGAACATAAGTGGGGACAACTGAATGTTCACCCGGCACCCGAAATGTTAAACGCCTGCGCTCCAGAGACCTGCTGAGCCATCTACATCCGATGTCCACCCAGTAGCCGCACGTCCCACTTCTCCTCTCCGTCGACAAAACCCGCTACAGCCAACGCCACTCCGCCAGAACACTCCACTTGACGTCACCTTCTAGCACCTCAGCTCCAGGTCCGCAACGGCGTCCTCAGAACATCACCTTTCCTCCCTTCTGGTTGACAGCGACACCAAATATAGCGAACGAGAACACAAGTGAGGACAACCGAATTTATTTCAACGCAAAATTACAGAATCACTTAGTAAAATCTGAGAACCATCTACATTTGCAAAATGTTAAACAATTGTCTCAAACATGACTGTTCCTTTTGCAAAATGTCAATCAATCACCTCAGACTCCATTGTTCTTCCCTCTCCATACCAATCACACTCTGTTTTCTTTCTCTTTCCTTCGATCTTCTTAACCTTCTGCCGTCAGACATTTCACTTTCGATTGTTGATACATACTACTTATAACTGTCGACATCAGTAACACACACCACAGTACTACTACTAATTATATTTATTATTATTATTATTATTATCATTATCATTATTAAAATCTTGTATGTGAGAATTGATCACGCAAATTTCTCTTTCGAATATCTCATATAGATATGAAATTATTACCAAGCGAAAAATTTTGTAGTAGCAGATCTTGGATAACAGTAACATACATAACGGTAGAAAAACAACGATATCTCGTGTATTGATTAAGGTTAGACTTGTACACCGTCGGACCGCCCACTTAGTGGTCTAGGAGTCAAGCTTTCACGAACGCAAGATCGAAGGTCCTGGATTCAATTCTTGGACGTTGGATTATGGATACGCACTGTTGAGTCGTCTTATATTGGGGAGAAATAGTCGCCTAGTACTTCCAGGTTTTCAGTGACTCGTGATTTAACTTATGAAAATTCTACAATCTCTACAAATCCCGCTATACTGATGTGATAAATTTCCTTAATCATTAACAGTGCGAAAGTAATAGTTTATTGGTCTAAAGCCCTTCGATATTTAGCCGTTCAAAACGCATGATTTCAAGATCTGTTCCCTACATCCTACAATAGTGGACAACTAATTAGCAGTAAAACTAACTGCTAGGTTAAATATGTAGTTTGAAATTTCTTTGTCTAAAGCGCATAAATTATGATGCTTTCGGGGACCAAAATAAAAATGGATCACTTAAATGAATCACTAGTGTTGTGATGAAATAAGTGGGAAAGAAGATGAATAGCCAACGAAGAAATGAACAGAAATAATATTTATTGATAGGTACAGTTTATTTGAAGTTCACAAAGAAAGGATTCTTTCAGTTAAAGATCATCTTACTTTTATAAAATGTAGTCGAGAACTACATCAGGATCACGATTGAATTATATTCTAAGAAATCCGATAATGTCCGAAACCACTGAGTTGCCCCATCTTTAGGACTTCCACTCAGGAACTATGATGAACTGACAGTAGCAGTCATATACAGTTACCTTTCTTACCATCCCACTATGTCATAAATTGGCCATATTTCCCTTGTTTCTAAACAGTCCCTGCGCCAGAAAATAATATGCAATTTGGAAGTCGATAGGATAAAATTTGCAAGACATAATCAAGACACTGAAGTCAGCATTTTAAAATAGTGGTATCAATTAAATCATTACCACTGTGCCTGAACGTACTAGACCGAACGTCGACATTATTAACTTGGTGCTACTACTGGATGGAAGCATTCTTTTAGAGATAGTGATGATTGAACAAAAAGTCACCAAACAACATCAGCTTGAGGGAACCAAGTTTCATAAATCATGAGTAGAACTGTTCTCGCTGACGTGCAGTAAACCCAACGTTTTACAGCTAGACTAATGTTATAATGGCAGCAAACAGGACCCAGTAGTTCAATGACCCAAGCATGTACTTGGTTACTAACTTGTATTCAATTTGATTGCTAATTATATGTTAGATAACTATACAAAGAAATGAAAATCACTTGATGTCATTTGCTTTATTTTTCTTAACTTTAATCAATCACATTTTCAGTTTTTCTCAATTATGTATAAATCAATAGAAAGAACAAGAGAGAGAGAGAGAGAGAGAGAAAGAGCCAGTGAGCGAGCGAAAAAATCGATTTACAACGCACTAGTTTAACGAGCACAAAATTTTTCACTTGATAATAATCTCATATCTACATGAGATAACCGAAAGTGAAATTTGCGTGATCAATCTTTACACACAAGATTTTAATAACAATGATAATGTTATTAAATATAATTAGTAGTAAAACACAAGTACCGAATTTTATTAATTGAATTCTAGATATGTTTCTGTTTAGATCTCAACGTTGCTACTATCCTCAATATAAGGGATTTATAGACATTGCTGAATTATGTGCTTTACATAACAAACTGGCATTTGTCAGGCAACCATTGAAAACGAGGAGGAACTGGACAGTTGTTTCGTTTTAGTATACAACTCCTCAACCATAGGCATCGTTTATCCAGTCGGCAGTTTAACACAAGGCATTCAGGTCTCTCAGAGAGCGTTTAAGTCTTAAATACCAAATCACATGAAGGTTCATGTGATATTGTGAGTGCACACTGTTGAGGAGTTCTATACTTGAACGAATTAGCTATTTAGTTTCCTGTAATTACCTCACTAATATCGGTTCCTGAAGAAAATTATAAACTAGTACTACCATCCAGTTGATGAAATCGAGGTGTATTAGGTAGGATTTGAACTTGAAACGTTAATGTTCAAAGATTTGAGTGCCCTAACTACTAAGTAAGAACTTCAAATCATTGTTTCAAGCTTCATTGAGAAATGTAAAGTGGATATTATTATCAATATATTAAGAGTGCAGTGTACGACATGACGGAAATTGTAGATGTATACTGCTAAATAATATCAAACTATCTCGAGTAGTTAAGTGTTCCTTAGCTTCCTACAATTCTCCAGTCAATACTAGTTTACAAACAAAACTGACTTCAAATTACTCAACTATTACTTCATTCATGCATGATTGTATCAAATCGCTAGTCACTTAAGAGATAGACATACAAATATACAAGGAAATTTATGAACTAACCTTTAGCACTTCTTCGATTAACTCGAGCATTTTTACTAAGTAGATATTCTACAATACTATCATGACGACGATAACAACTAATCATGAGACAAGTATGGCCGTGGCGATTTGGATTTTCAATATTTGCTCCATGTTCAACAAGATATCGAACAACCTTTGTAGAATGAAGAAAAAATGATTATTCAAACAGACAGAAAGAAATATCTTTTTTTTAAAAAAGCACGAATCTTGTATAATGATGCACTAATTCCAAATTACCATTTACCATACACTCAACTATGGTTTTACTTACTGTATTACCATTGGAAAGGATTTAAGCTGTCACGTTTTTAATAATATTAACGGAGTTTTGAGCAATCCGTTTTGGTACATGTTTATTCTGTGAGGACTGACTCTATAAAGATGCTATGTAGCAAGTTTTTCATAAAGCAGATAGATCAGTGTCTAGTAGTGGAATTTCGATGGTTGCCGCTTCTTCCCGACTAGGACTCATCAGTTGCCTGTACTAGTATAATAGTGTTAATGTTCACACCCAGATTTAAACCCATTCCCTTTCGTCTCAAATGCTCAATTAGTTATTCACTGAATTACTGAGTCCAGATAGCCACTCGCTTGTGCTATCGGTATGTTATTTGCATTATTATTAGAAAGGATTTGAATTAATCGGTTTATTTTATTTTATTTCGTTTCAACACATAGATATTGGTACAAAGAGGCACCAAATACATATGCGCCACACAAATCTCATTCGACATGTGTGAGGGCTGTGATACTGCCAGGGTGCCCAAACCGAAGCAGGTAGTTTTCTTAGGGGACCACATCCCGAGCCTTCGACCTGAAGGTCTGATCCACAAGGCAGTGGAGCATCGTAAGGAGATGCAGTCCTATGGTAGCCAATGACCAACAATAGGTTCATACTTCATTTGTTCCTTTAAGATACTGGAGCTCACGCACACCATTGGTTTGGGATCCGGTTAAAACACCGGACATTCGCTTTTCGTCCTCTCATTTTCGTAAACAACAAGCGTTGTGCGAGAAGGCAGTGAGTAGGACTTCCCTGGCAGAGGCTGTATACGCGTGGCCATGTGAGAGCATTTCGAGAGGGAGAGCGGACCCTCTCCACTTTCGGCCGTACCAGGGCATTTGGGTTGTTTATCTTGACTAGATTTCACTACTAGCCACAAATCCATCTATTTCGTGAAAAAAACGTAGAGAAATAGCTTTAGCGAGGTAACTCCAACAGGGTACATACGTACTAACAAAGTGATTAAAATTCAGTCAATATTACCAACAACGAGATAACTAATTGGGCATTTGGGACGAAAGGGAATGGGTTTTAATCTGGGTGTGAACATTAGCACTATCATACTAGTACATGCAACTGATGAGTCCTAGTCAGGACGAAACGGCAAGTATCCAAATCCCATTGCTAGACGCTAATTCATTTACTCACTTCAGTCCCATCAGATACAAACTACGCTCCGGAAGCGCTTATCTAAACACTTGTCTTCCTATCACCATTCGGTAAGCTTCTTGACAATAACACAAAGTGTGCAGTATTCTTTTGTTTTATAGAGACAGAGAAAAGATTTATCAAGTTTGAGAATAAATAACGTATAGAAATAGGTTATTTAAATCAAGCAGTTCAAAAAAATCGACTGCATATCACTCAAATTTTAACATAGAAAAATCTGTAAACATAAAAAAACAAGTGATCATATCTTGCTGAGAAAGAAACGCACTTGTTCATGTCCATCAAAGCAAGCAGCACGAAGAGCTGTTGAATTAGTAATTGTTGTTCGATTAACGTCTGCACCACGACTAATTAACAATTCAACTAATTTCAAATGTCCAGCTGCTGAAGCACACCATAGTGGAGGTACACCTTCTACTTGTTCTCCTTCAAACTCTACAACACCAACCTGGGAGAAATATACGAGCAAAAAAGAATGAGTTAACCTTCATTATGTAAATTTTATGACGAGAAATTTAAATAAGATACGTTTTTAACAAAATAATGTGCCCAATAATATTATATAATATTATATTATACACCTATTTTTCCTGTCATCACAATAAGAATCATTTATGACTACTAATGGAACGTGGTTAGTAGTGGAATCTAGGAAGCGAGTTTGGTCCTGTTTCGGACTCGTCAGCTGGGTGTGCTTGTAACCGGACGTTGATGTTCACTCCGGGGCTCGAACTCAGTATCGCTTGCTTCAAATGCCATCATGTGATCCGTTTGGCTACCGATTCCAGGTATGGACTCTCAGATATTATCACTATCTTTTTTACATAGAATTTATTAGTTGAAACTAAACACATGAATATGTGTTTGCTTACCAGATTGTATTTAATTAATCCCTCCACTCTACATTGTATTTACGAAAATTCTTGAATATTTGAGTTTAGTAAAGTTAAAAAGTTATTGTGAGAAAAAAGATTACTACCAAAACTGGTGTAAGCCATATAAAAAAGTCCTTGCTGTAAAACGAAGAGAATCTAAAATTTTACTCTTTATGATTGTTATTCCAAGTCAGTAATGGTCAATGTATGGTCAGACACAAATATGTAACGGCTCAATTTGTAGATACCATGTTCACTCCTATTTACTATATTCATTGGTGGCACAAAGTAATGTGAAGAGCAACATGAAAAATTTATCGAGAATTGATTTCAACATTTTAATTGTACACTGTAATTATTTAAAAGAAAATGAGATCTAGCCTATGAATAACAGAAAAGATTACTTCATCAAAACTGAAAAGTTACAACATTGATCAAGAGAACATAAATTACTTTATTATCAGTGTCGGAAAATTATGTTTAGAATTCAGAAGATTGTTAGAATACCAAAGCTGTCAATTCAAAATCGTCAGATACATTAGAGCAGTGGATTTATGGTCAGAGAAATTGGTGTTTAATTAGTAGATCATCGAATACCATTGCATCTATTATGATTTCGGCAACTAAAAAGTAACACTAGGTATCATATTTGTAAAGTGTTACTTAAAACCGAGTGTACTATGTACTTCCAGAGCGAAATGCATTTAAAAACGAGCTGCAAATACAGTGGCTTTAATAGTATAGTTTAAAAATCAAATGTAGTGAACACTAGTGCAATAGATGTGTGAAAGGACGAATTGAGCACACTGAATTGCAATATTGCAATAATTTAAAACTATCTAAATCTAAGCAGAGATGGATAGTGGCTTGGAATGGAATCCATGGCTTGCACTTCGTCCCTTTTGGGACTCGTCAGGGACCAGCTCAAGCAACCAACATAGCTGAACTTAGTTGTGAAAGCAGAAAAATCTAAAAGCAATTTATTCGCTAACTACGAGTGCAAAAATTCCTGTAAAAGCTGAAACTATACAGTATAAGAAACTGACTTGTTCAACATCTGCCCCATGACAGTCGATTAAGTATTCGGCAACATCTAAATGTCCTAGATGACATGATTCACAATGAGAAAAAGAGCAAAGTTACCATTTCTACATGCTACAATGAGACAAGTTTGACCATCAAGTGAATTTTTATGAACTACTTGACCAACAGAACGTGCACATTCTTTTAATGATTTCAAATCACCAGAGATGCAATAATTGAAAATATTTTGCTCTGTAACAAGTCTACTTTCTGTTTTAGAAGCAGTAGCCATCAAATAATTCAACGTCAATGTCTGCTTATGAACCTGCTAATATGAAATAAAAACAACGGAAATAAAATCACATTACAGATTGATGTTAAATTTGTCTAAGAAAAGATTGCGGATAACAAAAAACCAAATGGTAGAAATATATAAATGAGACACCAACTTTGCGATCTAAGAAAAGATGGACAAACTTTGTATACTAACGAAATATTGGTTCAGTACAATCTTGTCAGATGATGAAGCGGACGTTCCTCTTAATTTTTAAATCTAACTTATTTACTACGTATAAGTTTATGTACTAACTTCTAAGTTTTATTAGTACTATTTGTTGGTCAAACTGGAGCGCGGTTTAGACCCATGACTAATTGGTTGTAAGTCCGTTATTCAGTAGAGTGTGTTAGCTGGAAGCACTTCCGATCACTAAAAATCCAAAGTAAGAATCACCAAAAAGACAATCTGATACTGTTGAAAACGGAAAATCGGCGAGACTATAATTCATGGACGAACCAATTAGATTTACGATAACAGGTCTTGGAGTTCGGCGCCAAATTCTTTATCCATTTGACTATATAGCATCTTGACATTTGAGCTGATATCAGTTCGTGATGAAAACCCTAAATCTAATCCCTATCCCTAACCATCAACTGCAAATCACAATCTTTATACTTCACACAGGTTTGAAACCCTCATTTAGCCCTGATCAGTAGGGGGACATTCTCAAGACCACTTTAGTGTCGCCCAGAGGTCGTCCATAAATTATAGTCTCGCAGGAAAATCATATGTACTCTAAGTAATCGGCCATGAGTCATATATTTTTGTATAAGAACTATTTATTTAAAATGGGCCCGGGTTAAGACCTACAATTTATTGGTTTAGAGTGATTTGACTCCTAACATTGAGTCGTGAATTAGGGTAGTGGTAGATAGTATGGATCAGGATGAAGCCAGTCACTGCGAAGCCATTTCAAAGCCTTATTTCCTTTGTTTTATTATTTTCATAGCAAAATAAAACAAGTGGTCTCAGTTTTGATTAGTGCATGGATTATAAACTGAATATGCTTTCTGGAACCAGATGTTTGATGGTGCTGTCAAACTGTTTTTATCAGCTCTAAATTAGTAATTCACGTTCAAGAACAGTTTAGTAAGGCGGTAGTACAACTCGGCTTAGAATCAAGTAAGCTAGAAACGGTCAGTGGAAGAACTGTTCAAATTTGTCTTTCTTGACATGTGAATAAATAATTTTGTCTGACCTGATACATATTTATTCTGATTGTGAATCTTATAATTTCACTCAACATATAAGCTGATTCTAATTAGCACTACATACGAGTCATCTCAACATCAACAATTTTATTTTATTTAATAATCCTAAATTCACATGCTATAACTTTAAACGATGCACTTTTTCGTGAACCTGACCACTTTTCGGATTATTAATTTGGATATATAATTCTAGAACCTGAAGAGAATTAACTGAAAACAATATTTTTCGTCCGTATGTTAGTCTCTTAATATGACTGGGATGTTTAAATAATTAAAGAGTTGTGAACGACCCATTGCGTTGAAGAAATTCACTGAAATCCTGAAGTATGATGTAAAGTCCGTTGGGACGAAAACTGTTAGGGAATTTATCAACAACTGCACTGACTCAAGTCACCACTCAAAATTATACCATACATTGTTACGACGGGACGGAGTTTACCAAAATAGAAAAATACTGAAACGCTACGTCCTGAACCAGATTGACACTTTGCATTCCGGTATTGAAAAGATGTAAATAAATTATTTTTGCAGAAAATATGCTGTAGACGACCTAATGGATGGTTCGAGAATGCTTTTTATGGACTATGTTACAAACGTTATGGGACAGAGAGCAGAGACGAAACGTATCCAGCTATTGAAAAGTATGAAGAATTAAACAGTTGGAAGTAAATTTCTAGCTTGTTGCAAAACGGATGTCCATAATTTTTTAAGTGTTGAACTAGATAAGGAAAAACCAGAAATATTATCCTTAAGTATGAAATTCTGTGATACCCGGAATCACTCTAACCACAAACAGGTATACAGTTTGACTATTTATATAGTCATGGCATTTATTTGCGAATTCCGGTCAACAACTATAATATTTGAAATCAAACTTTGTAAATTGTTGTTACCAGCATTTAAAAAAATTTAATTAAAAAAGCATTTTTACAAAAAAGTAAAAGGACGCTATCAACATGCTCCAAAAGGATGAGACGTTATTGATTACGAAACCTAACAAAGGTTCAGTTGTCTTTCTTAGTAAAAGTAATTATATTGACAAAATGGGTACCATCTTAGATGAAATTGAAATTTCAAAAACTAACTTGCCAGAAGGTAAAAATGAATAACCTACAGTGGACTTAAGATATCAATCCTCTTGGCATGTTTATATGAACACGAACTACTGTAACGTTGACTTAATAATTAGTCAAGTAAACTTCACTACCCATCATCTAGATCGGAGTGTTAGAATTGATGATTGAGTCTATAATTTATGGACAACCTTATGGCGACGCTAGAGTGACCTTTAGAATGTCCGTCTACTAACTAGGACTGAGGGCTGTAAACCGCTGTGGGAAATTAGGATCATTATATACAGGTAGTGGTTGTGGTTAGTAACTATATTTAAGGCTTTCATAACGAACTGAAACCAGTTAAAACGCCAAAACGCCATTTGGCCAAATGGATGAATGAATTTCGCACCAAAATTCAAGACCTGATATCCTATATCTGATTGGTTCGTCCGTAAATTATGGTCTCACCTATTGGCGTTTTTTGAGATTGTGTTCACTCATACAGCGTTGAGTGAAGTTTTCAAAACAGTTAAAGTACTCAGAGGAATCGAACTTAGTGTATATTTGTGCTTTTATAGACTACGAAATCTGGAAATATCATGATTAGTGAGTTGGTTATTTTTCAGTAGGGTCCAATACCGGTTGGGCACAAATGGTTCGTTGTATTACGTCGAATGTAACACCCTATGTAGTTATTAAAATTGTTGGTAGAAATTATTCTTATCTCCGTTAACTGTATTAATTAATTCCCACTATGGTGGAAAGTCCCTAGATAAATCTAGGGACATTTGGAGGTAAAATTCTAACAGTCGTCATATAAGTGAGCTTAGAAATTACTTCAGATCAAAGTCATTTAAAAACGGAAATAGTCAAATCTACACAATAACAACCGGAGGATAGGCCTACTTAAATGCATAAATTGACTTTCAGACTGAAAATAAAACTTCATGGTGACCTTATTTCAAAATTTTACCAGATCTGTGTCTTAAAAAGAATACTTCGCAGGATGAACCTACTCACCTGACCGTAGAATCCCAAACAGAGCGCTCAAACTTTCCGATTATCAATAGATTCAGATTCAAGTTTGCTTATTGTAGACAGAAGGCTGAAATTCGGTATTCACCATTTTCTAGGGGGACAACATGAGTCTCTTGTCCTCTCTTGAGTCAGTGAGTTCGATGTTTGGACGCTATTTTACCCCGTCGTAGTGGTAAATAAATCCCCGAAATCAATTCTTCGATATTTGATGCTGGCCGCATTAGCTTTAATGCGACAACCTAGATGAAGGCATACAGTCACGCACCCGCGCCAGATCACGAGTTGGTACGCCGAACCTCATATCTCTTACGACCGATAGCCAGCTTAGATTTATCACTTCTAGATATATCGATAGTCTATCAAATATATCTTCGAACCTCTTCGCTCCTGACTTTTGATTTAAGTGGGTTGGCATATTTTGATTATAAGAAGTGTTGCTAGTTAAAGTGTCATCAAACTTCGAATAATTGTGGCATCTGTAAGCCAATTACACGGCAATAAGATCTTCATACCACATGAAGTTTATCCGTTGCTGACTTGTAAGCGTGCTCATCATGTCCCCCCAGTTAACCTAACTCAGGCAGAGAAAATGGGAAATAAATAACATGTTCGAAGTCATCACATATTACCTTACACATCATGATTATATCTCTTCATTCCACAATTAAATAGCTCAGTATGGTCTAACTTTGAAAGCCTCACTGTGTATTCTGAACTTCAGAATTCCATAATTACGTTGATAATCGTCTCTGATACTTTTTCCAAGATATCCGAGCCTGATCTGGATCTTATTAGGTATGTATACAGTGGTAAATTTCCCACACGTTACAAGACTCATGGGGTCACTGAACCCTTAGCTTTAACGGACTAGAAGTCGCAGCGTGTCTAAACTAACGACACTGACGTTGTTGTCATTAGCTTGTGGTGGGAATCCTGTCCTATGTAAATGATTTCAAGTCACTGAATGGTCGAAATTTGAATGCTGCATCTCAAACATAGACTCGTGTTGATCACATTGCGATCACCTAAGCTGGCATGGTTGTGTGCTATAATGACGATCCTTTCGGCGTAAATATTTGGACTCTAATAACTCTCTTGTTTGCGCTAATCTGACCTTACTTTTCGTTGGCCAACAAATTCATCGTCCTACACGTATTGATATCAGCGAATTGTTAGTAGCTTCTGTTGCAACTACACATCAAACCGAGTTAAGTTCACGGCTAGCTGCCAACCCACCGTGAAGCATGAATGAGTGCTAGTTGCAATTTTGTACCGCCATGAAAAAGGTGACTGAAGTCGCTTGCGGCTTCACGAAAATTGCTGCCTACAATCACCGGGTTTCCACAGGTTCCCTAGAACTCATTAGAGCCTGTAGCTCTAGCGTGCAACAGCCGCACCTGATAACTAACGGAAGCTCCTTCAACTCACCCGAGTCACTGGTAGCAAGAAGTCTAGTGTGAGTGTAACAATCTATGAAGGTTACGGGATGCCAGCAACTACTATATTTCGACGTCTTGGACGTTGGGCAGAGTTTTTTGGAGGATCAGTCCAAATGGTCTGCTGCCCCGACAATATTGATCAGACTGTTCTACCCTCTATGGCCTATGACGACTGACCCACCAAACAAGGCGGACGTCCTCAGGAACTCCAACTCTCGGAGCGTTAAAAATTACCAAGGCCAGATGACTCACCTAGGATCATTTGTAAAGATGGCGGTTTAGCTGCAGAAGATTTAGATCCAACAATAATTGTAGACTGTTTAGAATTAGCTGTAGATAATATTGAACGGTAGGTAACCCTTATTGATTAACATGAATTTTCTGCATGACCTCAATTCATTACACAGGACTGTTCTCAGGGATTGTCTATTGAAGAATGGTGTGCTGGAAAAGTTCATTAACATCTTGAAAGCCCTATGTACAAACACCTCAGGCAGAGTGAGAATATACAACCACATACCTCTATTGTTCTATTCAAGCAATGTGGTTAGGCATGGTTACTTAACCTCACCATCTCTCTTCAACGTTGCTACTGATGACGCTCTGGAAACATGTCTGGTGGATGTAGGTAACGGTGGTGTGGATTTGCTGTCTGGTGAAAGACCTTTCGACCTCGGGTGTGCGGATGATACTGTCTTACTGTGCGATGATACCCAATCCATGCAGTCCGCACTTAATCAGTTGACAATCAATGTTCGTAGCTATGGTATATGCTTTGCACATTCCATGTGCACTTTTGCAAAACTGACAGAATTGTAATCCTGCACTCATCCTAGATAGTGAGCAGACAGAAGTAGTCGAGAATTTCGTGTGTCTAGGAAGCTGCGTAAGTACTTGTGGTGGCGTGAGCGATGAGATCAATTCACGTCTAATAAACGCCTGAGTGGTTTATGCCAATCTGGACCATGTTTAGCGCTTTATTGATGCTAATCTGTCCGTAAAAAGGTAAGATTTACAGCGTGTCGGTGTGGGCAGTTTTGCTCTATGCTTGTAAAACCTGATGTAGTTGAATGACTCTGTTTTTGACCGTTGCTGTTGCCGAAGGATTGCTGACATCCAGTGGCAACACCATGTTAGTAATGTAGAGGTTCGACATCGTGTGTTTGGGCACAGAGACGATAAATTGGTTGGTGCCACTGTCTTGAAACATCGACTTCATTGGCTTGGATATGTTTTACAAATGTCGCTCTGAAGATTTCCACGTAATGGAAAAGGTGGAGGAGTGTTCAGTATGACATGGTGTCATGGCATGAAAGAAAACCGTACAGGCCTTGCTTCTCTTGGTTCTTCACAAATCCCTGGTTGGAGCCCAAGGGATGATGCAACACTGTGGCTTGAGACGTTATCAGATATGGCTCGTAATAGAAGCCGGTGGCTATCCTGCTGTAACTTACTTTTACTTTCTTCATAAAAGCAAAGTTTACTTCTCCAACTTAGGGTTGGTTTTATACTCGTATTTTTATTATCGCTGTCATGATTTAACTATCGTGCACTAATTTCTGTTCACTGTTTTTTTATTATACGCACTTTGCATTATCTATCACTCCACTACCTTCTTGTTATTCAGCAGCGCATATGTATTTGTTACACCCTTGTATCAAAGGTTATGTTTACAAGAAAATAAATACACCTGGATATTGCCCGTGCACACATACACACTCAGATGTACTGCTTGACAATAATCATGATCTGTACCAGCTCGGCATGGTGTTGAGTCGCCATGAAGTGCCGAAAATCAGAATCCTATGCCGATCCCCTTCATATTGATATCGGTGTCGAAAAACCTAGTTCACTGACGTAGAATAGAGACAGTCTACCGGATTACTTTCTCTCACACTTCTAATATGGATCCCGTAGGGTTAGCCGGTTTGAATTTCGTTGGATGATTCTCCGACCAATCTCTCAAAGTTTTCGTGGATCTATGTCGGCAAGCAAATCCCCAGGATAAAGTGTCATTAGCCACCGACATTGACAATCAACGTATTGTTTTTTCTCTGGACGTTAACAACTGAAGTGGTTCAGCACAGTGTCAGCACGAGATTGAATTTCTGTGCGCCATGTAGCACTTATGACGAATAGTTGGCTTATTTCAATGTCAACGGTAAACAGGTGATTGAAACTGGTCGTTAGCTGACAGTTTCTGCAGCGCTGGATGTTGATCTGCCTAAACGATAGCGAGCAAAAGGTAGACGAGGCTGATTGTATTAGCCAGACAATTCGGTAATGACATAGTTTTTATTCCCCCGGATTACAACCCAACAGTCAATTTGGCTTTAAAATTTACCAGTATAAAAAAGGCGTCTGCTACGTTTTGCTGTTCTACTCCAAGTTATTTAGCTGAACAGTCAAAATATACCACAACAGTATTAAGACAGCCTAGCGAGTAGAAATGAGTACGTCCGAACTTCACTAGTTATGAATATCGACGTTAGACAAATATAGATCGCCTGGATATTGGATACTATTTTACCTTGTAAGATTTAGGACTGGGCAAGTATTAGTGGCATTTTTCTATGCTACCAGAATAATATTCCTAATTCAGTACTGTGGACTTGCCATGATACAACTGCCTAACCTATAAGATCGTACACAGAGATCACATAATTTTCTATGCTGACTCGTCCTATCATGATGATTAGTAACATGCTTTTCATAGATTTTGGAAAAATACACTGGAGCTGGGGACAAATTGACATCCAATAGTCACATTGCCATTCGGTTTCATGGACAGTGAGATAAATAGCCCCGAGAACTGGACTATGTACACAGAACAACGGTTGTTTTCATCAGTCGGATTATGAAAGGTTTACGGGCTATTGACAATAATATGAGACATGGTTATCTTTGAATTAAATGCTCCCGCGGTTCTCTGATTCAGATATCGTCTGCGTTAAGTAACTAGTCAACAGAGATGTGGTACGAACCAATGCAACCAAGCATCAGATATCGGCACCAGAAGAATTAGTTTTGATACGGCTAAACAAATGTCAATAATTCCGACAACTCAGCCTCGTTGGCATAAGTCCTGGGCCTTTGTTCATACTGTTAAACTCCCGATTGTATGAGGTGTATTATGAGTTGTTCACTACATTACCAACAGATATGTGTACAAAAGTGACCGACGATGGATAATGTGAGTGACGGAAATGAACGTTGATGACTTATGATTGTGATGTAAAGAGCTAATACTAACTCATATATTCCGGTGGTATCAGAAGGAAGTTGCGGGCCAAAAAGTTTACCGTGACAATATATATGTATTGGTGGAGCCGGCATACTGCCGCTATTTGATCTTGTGTAGCCCCGTGTGAATTACATTGGCTCAGCTCTCATACGTTATCGTTGATAAATAAAACGTCTGTTCGAGTGATGTAAATCAAAAGCATAAACTCTATTCATTACATTGTTCTATCAAATGGGATTGTCAGCAATTCAGTCTGCTGACGCAACAATGTATTTCTCTTGAGCTGATCAGCAATTCACTGTCAAACAATTTAGTGTTATTATTGAGCAGTTAACGTCGATGACAAGTGTAACTGGTATTGCATGGTATCTTAGGTTCAAGTATCTACCAGCCGTCCTACTCAGCAGCGACAATGTAAATGAAAATATGATTGTAAGATGAAACAAAATCAGAAAAGTGATGATGATAAGTCATGCTAAATGAATGCTTGGTTCGACTTCCTAGCAGCGCCTATAACCCCAGGCTGAATCTACGCGGTAACTTGAACACAAGAGAAAAGACTCGAAGATTGATGATAAGGATTTATTCCACTTCTTAAATGAATCGAACTGATTTAGGAATACATCATATTTAATATTACTTGTTTACAGTTAGACTGATAGTCAGATTTGTGTAATTTGTACTGTGTTGTATTCAACAACAAAACATCACTGACTTACTTTATGAAAGTATTTACCTTACTGTACAATCCGGCATCCACGATACTTATTAATTTGTAAATACATAATCATAAAAAGTTCATATATCATTCGCAATCTAATCAGTTAACTGTTACTCGCCATACCAGGAGCTCGCAAGTACGGAACACTGCTCAAAACTAGCAGTAGTTGAAGGTCTAGGGAATATTCGACTAACGTTCGAGTTAGCATCAAGTAAATTAAAATCCTTGCGCTCAGAAATGTTGCCAGGATTTGATAACATCTTACCATAATCCTGGAAACTTATGAGGACATACCAGTCTACTGTATTGTTGCCTGTTCAGATACTCACCAGAGTACTGTACATACTTCTCATGGCGAAGGTTGAAAAGATGGGTTTCGCTAACCCATTTCCATCTTAGATCACAATTTACCCCGAGAGAGGATGGTATCAGTTCCTTAATATTAAGTACAAATATGGCTTAGCTTTTGAGCCAGGTCGAAAACATTTTGTGGTCACTTCAGTGTTCATTCATAAATTTTCACGATGAAATGTATGTGTCGCTTTCTTATTAAAAAAACATTTCGGTATTTCCTAAGTATTATCATAATTACTTCGTAAGTTATTTAATGCGGTTTCACCTACCTGTTATGCAATCACCTGAAATCTTATCTCATCTAGATGTTGACATTCGCGCTATATACTTATCAGCTACAAGGAACCGTCAAATATATGAATAGTAAAAATCGGCCACTAGATGTCACTCTCATTTTATCGGCTCATGTTTACCAACGGTTAGTGAAAGGAATAGAAAAATTCTTTATTTCACTATTAAGTAGTTGAATTGTAGGTTACCAATGTAGATGATCTGCGTCGATGACCGGTTCCTTCAAGGGTTGGACGGGAATAATTTTTACGTTGAAGTCACGCAACGCGGTTAACACTAAACCTTGGTTATGCTACTATAATAACCAGGTGACTGGTTAGAATAGATACCACCAGCAAGCAACGGCATACATTAGTATTTGCAGTTAACAAAAGCAAGAGGTGGAACCACAGTCGCCTATTCATAGTACACAATTGAGTAGCGAATGCTAGTTATATCTGACAACCGCGGCGACTAGTGCACTGCACGACATTCAATAACTTCCCTCTCGAAAGACTTGAATAAGACCTAGTGACATCATTAACCCTAAAAAATTAACATCTGCCCTTGAATTATGTTGAGTACACGGCAATTAGGTGACAAAGCCGTTTGAACTGAAACTACACAGCATTTCAAATTACTTTGTAAACACAAGCACACTGTGTGGTAAATAAGTCCGAAGAAACTAAATATTGCTTCCATATACTCATTACAAATACGAGTAAAAATTGCATAAAATTTTAGGCTGGACGTAAAGTTTTGCCGAAAACGGGTAACAGTTTTGTAATTATTGTGTACGTAGTGCAAATTTGTTTATACTAGTCGTCTGCATTTAAATATACATATTGTTCGTTAGTAACTCTCTTTTGGATGTTGCGTTACTCTGTCTGAAGTTGACTGCTTGGCATCTGAGGAACAATTTGTAAAGTTGAAAGTTTCCTTAAGTTGCTTTTGCTTCAGTTACGTACGTTTTATAAAATGGTTAATCAGAAGTGTGTGAATTGTGACTGAATGTACGTATCCAAATGCATGTGGATATGTTTGTTAATATTTGCAGTTTAGTTTTCGGAATTAGTTATTAGTTACTGAGAGAGTGGTATTTATACTGAAATCTCGTATATAAGCTAGGCTTAGCTGTTTACCTACGCAAGTTGTTGCCGCTTAAACGGTAAAAATATTCATCCCAGACATTTGTCATTGAATCACAGTGAGCTTTCCCGCTTGACACCATGTTCGTGTGACTGCGATATTCGTTGTATTCAGTTCATGTTCGATCCCAATAACGGTTATGCAACTGAATAACTAGTTCCAATCTCGTACGACTTACTGTGAGTTATACCTTATTATAAGGGCTAATGAAATTATTCGGTTGTCGAACTCAAATATGTAAGTTTGACAATTGTATTTGAATATGTAGTGGCAAACAACTCGCTAGTATAGATTTTTTCCTTGAAACTCAATATTTATTTTGATCTCGTTGTCTCAATGGACATAACTAGTTGATAGCACTCAGTCAAGCATCACCAGGTCACAACTCAAATTAAAATGGCACTCCTCTACATAATCAGTTCAAAATCCCTACTTCCACTTTTCTATTATCAGACGTACTATTTCTCCGAACAATCGACCATTCCAATTATTAAATGTCTCCAAGTTTTGTTTGTTCTTGCTCTGTCCTAACTTGATTTTTCCATCTTACAGACATACACAAGGAGTTGGTACCTTCATATCAATTTGATAAGCATTTAATTGGGTTCATGGCCACGGAATTAAGAACAAATGTGGAATCAGAAAGAGAGGAACAACCAACTACAGTTGCTGATGTCAATCAGGTGAAAATGTATTTCGAATTTTCTATTGAATAGTTTCCTGGTGATTTGGAAACATGAGAAAAAGTCCAAAACTACATCTACATATTATTTACTCCATGATGTCCGATAAATTGGCTGTAGAGTTATGTTTTGAGCACTACAAAGCCCCTACAGATTTTGTTGAAGGACCTAAATATTTCTGGCTGTTTTGTATGTTATCAGTAATCTCAGTGAGGTTAATAGGTGTTTATTGATATCTTTAAATAATGATTCAGCGACTTTGGACAGACGTGCATATACTGCCTTTATTTATTGATTAACTGATTAGCTATGAATGTTATTGATCAAGTCGATCCCTTCATTAAAAAATATTTTCTGGTTACATTAACTTTATCAAAATGTAAAGTGAATAGATCAAAGAAAACCGAACTGAAAGAATGGTCATTGTATGTAAATACATTTACAGTCCTGTTGAAATTCTAAGAGATCTTAGCTAGAATCTGAGATCTGGTCTCGCTAGGCGACCACCTCAGCCTGTAAGAAGGAAAAAATTCCTCTTGTGATAATCACAAAGAAATCAATTTAGCTAATATAGTATCTAAAATATCGATCTCAATAATACTTCGACGCCTAACTAGAGATAGTGAATAGCAAACACAAGGAAACCAGGCTGGTTTCAGACCTGGATGCAGATGTATGGATCAAATGTTCACCCTTCGGCAGGTTCTGTAACATAGCCAGACTTTTTGACGCCTGACTATAGTTGCATTCCTTAACCTTATGGCGTCGTTCAACTCTTGATCGTGGGGTTCTGTGCTAGTGCTCGATTAAGTTTTGCCAACTTGCGTCACTTGTAGCGTAAGCAAGATATCCGTCTGCCAACCAAATGACAAGCTCACTATTCAACTGTACGCCCTATTTCTGTGGATGCGAAACATGTCCGTCAAAAACATGATATCCGTAGGTTACTTGTATCCAATCACAGGTGTCCTTGAAGCACTACTCATGTATTTTGGGACCACTGAGTAAGCATTGCCTATGTTAGAGATCGGATACATAATAAAGATGGTAAATCAATCGGTAAGGTAGTGAATCCTTGTTGACTGGGGTGGTTGGGACACGTGTTACGCACCCCTAACCTCCGCCTACCTCGACGGGTAATGTTTTTTTGCTGTAGGCGTTGACTGGAAGCTAGGTGTGGCCAAACCAAAACATTTTCCCTGTCCATGAAAGTCACTGACAGTAGGACTGAGCCATGTTAATAGGTGTAGACTTACGTCGTTTGGATCTGTGTAACTACTACAACCAGTGGTTAGAGACTTTGAATGAAATGGCCCACGACCGTTTGTTAAGGCTCAGGTACATCCATTTTTTGTCTTCCTCCAAATTCTTAAACTTCTGAATTCCTCAGAACTTTCATTTCATTAATTCTTGTCTTCTTGGTCTGTATTTTAGATGCATAGTCTTTTCTATTACCACTGGTACTGTAACTACCTCTACTACTCTGGGATTAGGCCTGTCAGTTTCATCTTGCTGTGGTAATAGTTATAGCAATCTGAACCTATTTACATGCGTACAAGGTTTCACGTTGTTACTGACTGATAAGGAGTCAGGATAACAGAATTTTTGACAATAACTAGAATCTAGAATCCTACAGTTAGCACTCAAAGTAGAAAAAGAAACTCAAATTTAGGAAAACAACACAATAAAATAACAAGTCGCATAATTTTTTTTCGAGAATAAATCATCTCGAATAACTACCAATATAAAGAAATGCTTCATAAAGTGTACACTAAGTATGTGCTGGTTGATGCCGACCGAACTTGTTGAGTGTACTTATTTCTTAGTTGATGCTGATAAGATAACTACAATCTATTAGTTCTTATAAATACCATCATTTTCGGAAACAGCGATAATCAGTTTAACTTTCATGTCTTACAACTGGACTAGTGCTCTGTTGATAGATGTCAAATCAATGCAACATGTAATGAAGTTCGTTCTGTTTATTTATTTATTTATTTGAACACAAATATTGGCACATAGGGGCACTGAATACATATGCGCCACACAAGTCAATTAATTTGTGTATGGGCTGTGATAATGCCTGGGTGCTCAGACCGAAGCAGGTAGTCTTCTTCGGGGGCCACACCTGGGACCTTTGACCTAGAGGTCTAATCCACAAGGCGTTGTCGAAACATAAGAGGATGCAGTCTTAAGGTAGCCGATGACCAACAACAGGTTCATACGCCATTTCTTCAGCATCCTGGAGCCCATGTGCACCATTGGTTTAAAATCACGCTTTTCCAAATCCCCTAGGTGGATTCTCTCTATCCACCAACCCGCCTAGAGCGACGGATATTTGCTTTTCATTCCCTCAGTTCCATAAACAACACCCCTACTGCTAGAGGATAGTGAGTAAGACTTCCCTGACAATGGCTTTATATGTGTGGCCATGGGAGAGCATTTCGAGAGAGAGAGAGAGAGAAAGAGCTAACTCCCCATTCTCAACCGTACCAGGGCATTTGGGAGCTATTATGTCAGTAAAACTTAATGAAAACATTTGGGCATACAATTTTTAAATATAATAAGCCGAAAATAAAAAATACTGGACTTTCCTGACAAGTAAGAAACACTGTGACATCATCAAGTTAAAAACTCTTTGTATTTATATGTGTTTGATTAAAAACACTTAGATTTCAGCAGAACGAATCGTTTCCACTGAGTCATTTTGTTTAAGTTTGTCATACTACTCAGTCGACGCTAAATATTTGCTTTAGAACAAATGACGATAACGTGTCACATATGGAATGGTAATTTTTAAAGTTGACTGTTTCTAAAAAAAATACTATTGTGACTAATTTAATTGTTGACCGATTCTTGTTGATTTCATTTTCATCTTAACAGCCTCTATTAATACGAGGAACTAGCAATACTCTAACAGTTGATAATGAAAATAATCTACCTTCTTCTAGTCATGGTCCAGCAATCCGATGGGCTGAAGGTACAGTAGATAATGAATTTATGGGTAAAAAAAAGTCGAATTGTTGTTGCATTTATGAAAAACCAAGAAAATGGAATGAATCATCTAGTTCATCATCAGATTATTCTGATCATTCGTCTGATGATAACAATGATATAAATAAACAAAACACACATAAAAATACACATTGTACAGAACATTGTCGAGGACATACAAAACGATGCTTTCGAAAAAAGAAAAACAATAAAGATACAAATCGTGAAAATTTTGAAAAACCAACTTCATCATCATCTGACTTCAATCCAAATGGTTTATGTTCATAATTTAAATAATTTTGTTTTAATATGGTCAACATTTGTTGGGGGAAAAGATATATATACATATATACTAGCTGTTTGAATGGTTTGTTCTCTTTGATTCGGATACTTATTAGTTTGATTTGTATTTTGGAGAATATATTTCAATCTGTTCATTCTTTATTTTACTCTTACATTTCTTCCTTTTATTATTATTACTATTATGTGAATATTTTCCAATCTGTTGTACTTATAAATAAAATATCCTACAGATGTATATTTCCGTTGTCTTCAAACATCAAATTTGAAATAAACTATAAACAAACTTATTTTGTGTTTTTTATTAATTATTTGATCTATGTCAACATCTGAACTAAGAATAGGGAGTGAAGTAGTCGAACGCATTGACAACCTCACTTATCTCGGAAGTCTGATCAACCCAAATGGGTTGGTGTTTGGTGAAATTTGTGTACGGATTCGAAAAGCTCGTTTGGCTTTTGGCAACTTACGTCACCTATGGCGAAGGTGAGATATCCGTCTATCAATAAAAGGACAAGTATACTGCGCGGCAGTCCGTTCTGTTTTAATTTACGGCAGCGAAACATGGCCATTAAGAGTAGAAGACACTCGTAAGCTACTAGTATTTGACCACAGATGCCTTAGAAATATTGCTCGCATCTGCTGGGATCACCGGGTAAGTAGTAGTGAGGTTAGATGCAGGGTATTAGGGAATGATGGTAAATCAGTTGATGAGGTTGTGAATCTTCATCGACTGAGATGGTTGGACCACGTGTTACGTATGCCCGAACACCGATTACTACGATGTGCAGTGCTAACCGGTGTTCGGGATGGTTGGAAGAAAGTTAGGGATGGCCAAACCAAAACGTAGCATCAGTGCTTGGAGTAACTAACTTCTAGTCTGAGCCATGTTGGTAGATGCAGAATACTTGGTTAGGGTCCGCGCGACTATTTTTAACCAATGGTTGGAGACTGTGACGTGACTCATAATTGATCACAATGGCGTGGGTGTATACCCTCTCTGTTTTCCCTTAAACTAAGAGATTAAAATCGCTTCATTTCTTTCTTTCTACGTACTAATTCTTTCTTCCTGTGCTATATCCTCATACACAACCTTTTATATATTACTACTATTGAAGTAAATACTGTAAATTTTGTGTTCATCTTTTTATTCTAATGAGGTGTGATAACTTGGACCGATGCGTATATGCGCCTAGTCCTACGTTGCAGATGACTGACTGACTGACCTTATTAATTATGATAGATTTCGCTTGAAATTCAGAACTCAATAACCATTAGTCTGTATATTATTAAGAGTTAAGTAAGTGATAAACGTAACCTAAACTGTGGTGGTTACTAGGGTAGTACGCGTATCAATTCTTAACAAGACAAGAAAAGGGTTAAACGTCAACAGCTCTTAAGTAAATGATTAATATGTAGTGGAAAATAATTAAAAAAAAATGCATCGACACACTTTAAGGATAATCTACAAATTTTTATGGTTTGATTCCAGAAAATTACTTGGTTAAGTATTCACAAATGTGGTTAGAAATCATCCCATTCTGAACACATCTGATCTTAACAGTAACGTTTTCGGTTTTTATGCATTAAATTATTCATTTGTATCACCTCCATCTGGACTGAGTGGTAACCGAATCTCTTTCCAAGGTCACTAAAAGGTCGTTAGTAAAATATATATTCACAAACAGTTGCTTAATCTAGTGGTTTTGCTCGTTTTAAGATCCAAGTAAATTGTGGGAATGTTAACATACCAAAGTTTTTCTAGAAATATGACATTGATGATCGACGTCCAAATCATGCAGTAACTAAGCATGATTGAAAGGAAATTCTGTTTGATTTTCAACTAAGGGCATTACGAAGATGTTGCGATCTACTGGGGGTAGAGAAATAACACACGACTATGTTAAGCAAGATATATCATACGTTAATAGAAACAAAGAAAACACTGAATTCCCCTTTATGGACGAAGTTTCAAATAATTTCATACACAGAAGAGACACAATAATATAAGAAGGATACGAATGAATCAGAACTCTGAAATAAAATGGTGCTTAAACAAATACCACGAGGAGGCAAGTTCAAAAAAGAAATATGACGGGAATGGCATAAACGACAAAGTATAATTCAAACTACTTTGTAATAATAAGTAGTGTGATTCAATCACGTTTATGTGGGACATGGAGTATTTACATTCTCTCGAAGTATGATGAAATTTGTATTATTTCTAACAGTTTACAGTAGTCAAGGGTACTGATTAATAATCATTCCAATAGAGAATAGTATATACGATGAACTTCAGTCATACAATATCTTAAGTGAAGAAAGCAAACTGTTGTATTATTATTTTAGTGGTTTGTTTACATTGTGCTCATCGTAAAACTCTCAATCCCTGGGATTAATTTTGATGTGAAATAATGTGTTCAGTCATCGGCATAAAAAATCGACGTATTTTCAATTTATTCTAAGGTAAGTGTATGGAGGGTATCTCACATATGAATTTCATGTGAAGATCAGTGTTAGACAAGGTTGCTTACCATTTCTTCCGGTGGTCGATTGAATTATGAAGGCCTTGACATTTGACGAGAATCATGGAATACAATGGACAGCTGGGAATCAATTAGAAGATTTGGATTTCGCAGACGACCTAACTATTCTATGCTATACAAATCAGCAAATGGAAATGAAGACAGCTAGTGTAGCGGGAGTTTCTGTATCAGTAGGCCTCATTATACACAAAGGAAAAGGCAGGATACTCAAATACAACGCAATCACACTTGATGGAGAAGGTCTGGAAGATGTGGAAACTTTCATGTACCTGGGCAGTATCATTGATAATCATGAGGAATCTGATACAAGTGTGAAGGCAATGATTGGCAAAGCTAGGACAGCATTTTTATAACTGAAGAACATTTGGAACTCAAAACAACTGTCTGTCAGTCAACACCAAAGTCAGGATTTCCAATACAAACGTAAAGACAGTACGATTGTATGGAACTGAGTCTTGAACAACTACTACAACCAGACTCAAAGATATGCAATTTTTATAAACAATTGTCTACACAAGATACCATCATCAACAACCTATTGTGGCTGAAGACAAACCAATTTCCAAATGAAGGAGAAATTATGATTCTGTAAGTGTAAAGGACACATATGGTGGAAATCATCAAACTGCATCACAGTCCAAGTTCTAACTTGAAATTCGTAAGCAAAAGTAACAGAAGCAGACATTTAAAAGATTCACAGAACTTGGAACCAACTTGAAAGGAGAAACCAGGATAGAGTTGACTGGAGAATCCTAGTCGACTCCCTATGCTCCACGAGGCGTAACATGCATAAGTAAGTAAATCAGATTATTTTTCTTATTACACAGAAAAACAATTAAATGATAGAATTATATCAACTAAAGCGAAAAGTTGGACATGGGAAATTTACTATACTATGTACTCTATATTGGGGAGGTCCAGAAAACTCGAAAAAGCCCGAAAAAGGCTCAGGAAATGCTGAGAAGCATCTTATCCAATCAGCATTCAATAGGAGTTTTACCAGAAACATCTAGAAAGTGAAAAGTCACATGTCGAGATTTTGATTAGATGATTATCTATATTGCTACCTTGTTTAGTAGCATTCCTGAAACCCAAGGCCATCTAAATTAATATAAAAACCCTAGATTTTCTGTACATAAACGAACCTTTAGAGTAAAGTGTTTGATCCATATTCCTCATCTTTTCTCTCGCGTTCAAGTTGCTGTGTAGATTTAGCCTGGGGTTTACTAGAAGAGTTGAGGAAACTGAATCCTGCATTCAATTAGCAAGACTAATGCTTAGTTTATATGAAATTATCAAGGTAAACCTTATGTATGATACTTGTGTGAAGTATAATTTAGATTGTGTAAATGGGAACGAAGTATAAGAAGTTAAGAGTAATACAGAACTGGAGATTTGAACAAAGATAGTGAATCAATATAAACTGACCGTTCTGATTGATCCATTATAATCCTAACTAACCGAGTAGTCTACACCTAATGATATAGCTCAGACCAGTAGTCGGAAAGTAAGTATTCATTTAAACATTCATAATGAGCGCCTAATTACTTCTCTAGGATAACCTTGTTTTTTCTTCTATTTCCCTCATCATTAAATTATTTCTATTTTGATTGATATCCCTATTCCCACTGACTTTGTTGTTATAGTGATTTATAACTTTTTGAGTAATTGGCTTCCTCCTTCAGAGAGAGTATCATGTCGATTATGAGCCTAAGTCTAACGGAGATCTATTAACATACAGAGAGAAATGGAAGCAATGTTTTTTATGGAGTTTTGTTCTCTGAGCTGGATGGTTTGGTTGTGGAGCTATTATTAGCACAAGCCTCAGGTCGAAGTAAGATGTTCGAATTTTTCCACCCACTTACAGAGAAGAAAAATGAAGAAAAATATCTTTCAAAAGAATGATTACCCGATCAACTTCATCAAAACAGTATCAATCAAATACATCAACAGAAACAAAACCAAGTACAGAAACCAATACCGGATCATTCCACCATTTATAAGAGATATATCGGAAATTTTTGAAGCCTTTTGGAATAGGTGTAGCATATAAATCAGCAATATCATTTCAATCAATCCTATGCAAACCAATCGACGAAGTGACAAAGGAAGAAAAAATCGAACATCATCTATAAAATGAATTGTTCCGACCGCGAAAAACACTTCATCGGACAAAGCGAACGCCTCCTTCATCTTCACCTGCATGAATATCAGTTAATGGTCAAACACCGTGATATATCCTAACTTACATCAATGCACGTGAACAACTGTGGACATTCATTCGATTGGGAAAATGTTGAGATCTTGAATAGAGACAATTCTTAAAACATCAGAGAATATTTAGAAGCTTGGTACTCAGGTCAATCAGCAATCAAGAAACACATTGAAATCGATCCAATTTATCAACCAATCAGGAAACTTATGGACAAACATGGAACGAAGAATAAAATCAATGGGAGATGCAATCAAAATGAAGAAGTAAATAATGGTAGGTTAAAGCTCGACAATAACCAATGAAGATCGTTGTCTACAGGACAAGATGTGAGTCATATATGCGAAGAAATTCGAACATTTCACTTCTACCTGAAGTTTGTACTGACGATGTTGTTCAGAATATTGCTGAAATCTCTACAACCAAACCATCCAACTCATAGAACTAAAACTTCATCAAAATCATCGACCATCACAAAAAAATGTTTCATTTCATTCTAGAATTCTTTATCAGTTAATATCCAAGTGTGTTA